GAAAACACAGAATTTAACAGGTATGATGTTTGTTCTCCATCACCACTTTAAAATTTAAGCACCCCGACATTTGTTTATTACCCTTCAAAGCTAAAGAAAAAGGCAAAAAGAGCTGTCTGCATTGCAGGTTTTGAGCATTAAACCAGAGACATTGATGCATTAAAATGTTATTTGAAGAGCATAAATAACTAATACTTCATGAAATTCTAAAGATGAGTCAGAGCCGAGGCAACCATCAAAGCTGGTAAACAGTTGCAGAGCGTGCATCATTACTAGATAACCAGAGGCAGGCCGTTGGCGGAGCTGAGAAAAAAGATATAAATCTGCCAACTGTTTACTCCAGCTTGCCATTTTGAGTGCGGGTTTGTTTCTTTGTTCTGAATTATCCACTAATTACAAAGTGATCTTTAGACCAAAGGTTCAATAGCAACATCCCCAGATGCAGCAGTACCACAGTTTCTCAAGCCAAGTCACAATGATTCAGTAATTACCAAAGCATAGTACCGATATGAGTATCGTAAATGCCATAATACTTTTTACTCTTAATGCTCTTCCTCCTACACCCCACATTTGCAGTAATGGTGGTTGTTGTTGCAGTTTCTTGCTTCGGTTTGCAAACCCTTTTAACTCGTATCATGTAGGCTTAGATTATTTTACGAAACGCTTTCACATCTCAGCCATTGTCATCCTTATTCACACAAAAAAGGTCTTTATTTGCTGTTTCTTTATATACTAGAGATATAAGAAAATATTAATGCACTGAAGTATCGCCATCATTAGTTTTATGATACTGAATTGATATTTAATGGTTCACATGCAGTTTTTACCACCTTCATTCTGATCACGTGATAACGCCGGATGTGTCTTGGAAGTGTCTGATTTGAGTTTTCCAATTAAAGTCAATCCAAAAAGTTACTCAATACTCACTTTAGATCCTCAGTAGACACCACAGACAGCAGAAATAACATGTTTGGGGCTCAAAATTCATGTTGTTGACCAGGTGGAAAAATAAAAGTCTTGGAGGCTACATCACTTCCGGGTCACTGAACTGTCACTCAAGAGAAACCACTGTCCTATGGGAGAGGACTTCTCAGAAGTCCCACCCACCCGAAAGGGTTGTGTCAGAATTGCAACCAAAAACTCAGGGATTGCAAAGGAGAAAGCCAGACATTGTAAGTGCAAATCTGGTAGTGAGAGCAAAGCTGTGAGCAGCGAGAACGAAACTAAGGAAATTGATAACAAAAACACATAGAGGCAAACAGAAAAAGGAAACATACTTTGTTACTCATTTTAAGAAGTTGATTCAGATCGTAAGTTTTACTTTTGAAACATGTTTTTTTCCTTTAGTCAATATTTTTGTTCTGTCAATTTGTTAATTTTTGTTTGACCGTCAAAGTGTTTTTCTTGATCATTTTAAGAATCAGATTCCGATGGTAAGTTTTTCTTTTGAAACAAATGTTTTTTCTCTCAATGTCTTAAAATTTGTTTGCTCTCCTAAGTGTTTTTTCTTGATCCTATTGGCACAAATTTAATCCCATACGGTTTTGCCCCACACCGCTGCAGACACCCACCAATAAACGGGATGGTGGGGATTTTCCTTCCGCTTGTGGAGTGTAGTCATTCACAACCGTCACGTTTTTTCTGAACCACACTTGCTCGTGAGAATGGTACCCGCTAGCTTAGCATTAGCGATTCTGCTCGTAGTTTAACTCTTGATCTCAAACTTTGCACCGTGTCTGCTTTTTACAATGGTTTCTGTCTATGCTGGTTTCTCTATTTTCCTCCACAGCACCTAGATCACCACTTGGTGCGCCAGTAAATATGTTCAGACTGTGGAACGCACATTTAACAAATCTTCGAATCAGCAAAAAATGAATCGAGGAATATAATGAATCGAATCATTCAATGATTCGTTTCAGCCCTACATGCCTTATCTACACTGTGGAAACAAATCATGTTAGAAAAACACATGATTACTATGTTCTTGAATATTCCCATGATATCAGTGCATTTATTACAGAAAAACACACATTTGGAGCTCCTAAAATGATTTGTGTGCAGCCAAGAGGCTAAAATGATTTAATAAAATGCCATTCCACATCTAAACCAACCTATGATATATTACAGTCTAAACAGTCCTTTTTAGTTCTGATATGTAACAAAATGATATTGTAACATTAAAGTATTGATGTAGCATGCTGCTCTAATTAATACATAATTACATTTTGACCCAATTATAATCATTGGTCAGGTAATATTTACTTGTATTCAGCCTTAGTCCTTCTCTCTGAATCCATTCATACTTAGTTTTTGATTAAATTAATAATAAAAAAAAATGCTGAACTTCGGCTCTCCTCTCAGTGATTACTCGTCTGAATTAATAATCCATCAACCTTGCGGACTGCTGTGCCAGAGACGGGCAAATATACTTAAGTTTTTTGTTTGAGCAATTTTGAATTTTACATCACTCAGTTCTCCTACAAATATTTGCAGAAGTGTTTCACCACTCTGGATTAGATTATTTCGGCCCTTCACCCCCCCCCCCCCCCCCCCCCCCCACACACACACACACACACCCCAATTCATCGTCACCTCTAACAGCCACTTTAATAGTCTCCATGTTAGTTTATATATCCACACACTAGGTTTGAGTTTCTTCTGTACAGTGTGTGCATGAAGACAATCACGCAGAACGGGATTGCATTCTTTCTGCCTTTTTAAACAGTCCCAAAGGCCTTGGAACAGTCAGTACAGCTGATTCCAACATACATGCCCACAAGCATATTTGGGCTCAGAATCACTCACACACACGCACACACACACACACACACACACACACACACACACACACTTGAATGATCCAACCAGCCAGTCAGCGCTGGTTCTCTGCCATATACGGAATTGGCAAATAGGCAAATCTCAGATCATTTTAAGTCACTTGGACACCGTCAGCTTTAACATTTAGATGGTTTTTGGAAGCCTGAGGCCTGAGTTCCAGGAAACGTGGACGTTGGCCAGGGCACACTCCACTGCACTCTGCAGTTAGAGACAGTAACAAATGTGTTCTCAAGGGATGTAGTGAAAGTTTGTGATTGATCTTCAGAGGCAGAGTTGAGGTCAATTCTCAAGTCTCTTCAGAGCAAAAAAACTACAGATAGATCTGCTCCACCCTCTCAAAGTGCTTGGACAATGTTCAGAAGTTTACCACAGTTTGATTAGTACGTGCGGTATATCGTAAAGAAACATGGTTGTGTTTACTTGAAGCCATTGCAGTTATTTTCCTATTTAAAATGAAAGGCCTAACATCCCTTGATGGAATGTGAAATTCACACCGCGTTTCATCTCGGTTTTAAACCACCATTCAAGGTTGAGAAGTGATGGAATTAAAGTTGTGTTGGTCAAATTCAAAAGATTTCTTATACAAGATCACTGTTCAAGTTGAGCTTTATTTCCATGTAAATGACTAATGTTGTGATGACTATGGAGAAAAAGTTTGCTCTGAGAGAGTATAACACATCATAGGTGTAGATACACACCCTTAAATTTGCATGGCCAACCAACTTCAGCATCAGCTAAATATAAATGTTCCGTTTCAGTATTGCTAACTGTAGAACAACACTATCGCTAGCAGCCTAGGGCTTAGCAAAAACTTTACCACTCACTGTTTTTTGGGGTTATTGATTGTTAGTCGGTGTGCTTGTTATGGTTTACAGCTGAGCTCTACTTTCTGGGATCTGAGTACAGAACTAAATGATAGAATTTGAGAAGTTCTCTCTTGATTCATATAAAATACATTTCTTTGCTCAGCATGCAGTGTTTTAATCCTATACTGAATGTGTTGTGGAAACTATTTCACTTTTTTCTGTGTGGCAGCTAGATATGGCTTTCTTTGTTAATGCAAGAACCTTTGTAAGGCCTGGAGTTGGTTATAAATTAAAAAAAAATCTAGCTAGTAGTTGAGTCATTTACAATTCGAGTTGATAATGGTGGTATTCAGATGCAAAGGCCTCTTTCTTTTAAACAAAACATGATCATTTGTTTTGTTCTGTCTGGAACAGCTACCAGGACCTGCTATGTTCTTGCCACAGGTCTGACAATTTCTGAATTACGAACTCCAGGCATAAAATTCTTAGATCAAGATGGTGTACTGAATAAATAAAAACCCATTTAATATTCTAACATTCAAATGTTCTCAGAGAATGAGTGAAACTCTCAAAGAATCTGCAAAACAAACTTTGAACAGCTGCCAACAGCACGAAGGTAGGCGCTACGCAGAGAGTATAGGGATGTGTAGAAATGAATCAAGATGATTCTTGGATAGATGGCAGCAAGTGATGTTGGGAAAATGAGAATTAAAATTTTTCATCTGCAGACTGACAACAAATCCATGAGCAGTGTTTAAATATAAGACCATCGGTATGCTAAGCCAGAATAGGTTTGGTCTTCACAGGCACTCAATGAAATTCACCAAAAGTCCCCAGTGAGATCATGGTGATTTGTTACTGTGGTAACCAGGTGGATCCTGCATGATCCCAGCAGGATGGCGGCATATCCAGTTGCATTACTAGTGGTGTTTTTCGTGAATTCTAAGCAGGACTGGCCTCATTGTCCTTGGTAAAATCGTAGGAAAAACCAATTTGGTGAGTTCTCAAAGCAAAGCAGCACAATGATGTTATTCATAAAGAAGGTTTTAGGAAATGGGCTGCATTCCAGTTTAGGTTGAACTCGGGGGAATTGTGATGGGGGGTCTTTTATTCCTTGAATGATCTTCAGCTTCCCAAACTGTCCTCATATTGGTTGCCTTTGTTGTTTGTCTTTCAATTAACAAAGCGCAAACCAATGTAAATAAAAAAAAAAAAGAAAAAAATAATAAAATTTAGGAAAGTTAACCAACAAGTTGACTTGACTTGAGATTTGTGGTTCATGAATGTGCAGCTGTTTTCAGTTTGATTTGATTTAGTTGGATGAACTTGTTTTTTCTTTTGTATTTCTTGTCTTAGCGTTTCATCCAGTACCTGGCTTCCAGAAACACTTTGTTTAACCTCAACAACTTCTTGGATAAGGGAGCCCTGCAAGGTAAAGCACACATGCTCCTCATCCCCACTGATGGGTTTAAAAGCCCTTTTTGTTTTCAAAGACATAGGTGGCATTAATGTAAGTAAAACTGTAACAGTAAATACAAGTACATACTGTTCAAAGTTGGTATTACAACAGCTAGAAACCATTATTAACTCATTCACTGCCATTGACGACTGAAGTCGTCATTTTAAAACCAACCATTCACTGCCAAGTCGCCATTTACATTTTTTTTTACTGTGTTGGCATCGGAACGAGCCCCTGTACCGTGAGAACAAACATCTCGGCTCTAAAGCCGATCTTCATCCACGTACGTCACACGCCATGTGATCAGGAAGCAGAAAATCCATGTGTTAGGAGATCGCTTTGGGCCGTTGCTGTTAAAAAGGTGAGGCGCAAACCGGAAAAGCTTCTGCCAATCACAATTCAACAACGGATTATGAAAGAATGGATAGCGCTCGAAACATGCGGATTCTTCCTGATGTAAGAGGCAAGTCTACTCTTTGTTTTCGTAGTTTTGGCGTTGACGTCGTCCTAGCGCGCAACGTTCTGTTACTCTTAAAAAACAGTAAAAACGGTGAGAAACGCTGGCAGCGAACAGCTTTACCGGCCAGGAAACGGCTGGCAGTGAATGAGATAAAGCAGTCTCATATAGGAAAATTAGCTGATTTCTCTTCTGTTTTCCTCTTTATACATCTTTCAGGTTATGATATGTCCACTTTCATCAGACGGTATAGCCGTTATCTGAATGAGAAGGCCATGTCCTACAGACTGGTGGCTGTGGATTTCACCAAGATGAAGAGAGGGTAAGGCTAGCATCACACACAGTATAGCTTTACTCAGTATTAGCACATCATTATCATCAGTATAATCATTCTCAACAAACAGGGTTGGTACAGGTGCTTGAAATCCTTGAAAGTGCTTGAATTTCAATGACATGTTTTCATGATATGGAAAGAGCTTGATTTTTGTATCAAGTCCTTAAAAATACTTGATATTCAAACTGCACAGTTTTGCATTTAAGATTAACCAAGATAGTTTGATGAAGAAATGAAAATTGTCATTTTTTTACGTCAAAACTAGAAAGCAACTATTTAGTTTTAATAAGCTGTGTTCATGAAACTTTGCTGCTACTCTGAGGGGGTCACCTCCTTTCTGTAACACCGGTGTGTGAACAACAGACTCCATCTAGTATAGAGACCAGGTAATGGACTGGCGGGGTTCTCTGGCTTCGCTATGAAGCATGAAACTGGTATGCTAGCGACATGTGTGAGGGCCCTGCTTTGGCACTGCGATCCAGTGGGTACTTCTGTGACAAATTTAGGAATAAAATTAAAACAGGACTAGGGCACTAGGATAAGAATCCTTTCTAGTAACCTTGTTAAGTTTCTGATAATCTACACAGAACCTAAATCCACCACACTTCTTTTTCACCAAGACCACTGGAGCAGCCCATGGACTGTGGAAGGGCTGGATAATATTATTAGCCAGCATCTGTTTCAGAAGATGGAGGGGCACCCTTCGAGGGTGCATTTTGATGGGCGCTGCGCCACCAGTATCTATTTCGTGTGCAATTAACTGCGTTCTACCTAAATCAGTATCCCCTTTACTGAACAGTGACAGATGTCTGTGAAGTAGCCGTTTTACAGCCTCCTCCTCTCCAGCAGAAAACCATTTATTTCCTACGCCAAACTGTCCTGCCAGCATATCCACTGTCCATGGTTGCACATTATTTTCAAAAAAATCATCCTGCTCTTCAACCTCCCCCACCTCAATATCGGTGGACAGGGTGCCGATCTTCGTACCACTCCTCAGCACTAGAGGGTCATTAGTGACGTTTATTACCCGTATAGGGAGCTGCCCCTGGTCGACCCTACAAACTATTCTTGCAACCAACAGGTAGCAATGCTTTGACAAAGAACTCACTGGCTCCAACTAGGGTTGTCATGGTAACCGGTGTAGCGATAAACCCCGGTAAAAAAGTTGACAATTATAATAACCGTCTTGTTTTAAAAAAAAAATTATCTCAGTGGATTACCATGGCTGCGGTGTAGGCGCGGTGACCCTTACCAGCCACCGTATCATCTGCTGAAGTTGCTGGCGGCCATGCGCCCTTTGTTGTTTACAGCCAAAACTTTCTTGAAGCTAAAGCTGAAATAATGGCCAAAGGAGGAGACGGCAGCGCTCAGAACATTTATTATCCCTCAAAGAAGACAAAGTTGGAAGTATGGGCATTTTTGGGATATCTGAAGAATGCCGAGGGACAGTTGATAGAAGACGGCTATCCTGTTAACAGCACGTGCAGGAAAAAGTGTCTGTGAAAGGCAGCAACGCTTCAAATCTCATGACACATCTGCGTGACCATCACCCACAACTCTACAGTCAACGCAAGGCAAGTTAACGTTAGCGTTTTAGCTAAAAGGCGTGATCCAAGGATTTAGGTTGAGGGAGAATGCAATGAGTCGCTATATAAAGCAGCCGCAGCGCCGCTACCTGCATGTAAACCGTGTCACAGACACCCCCAATGACACCTATGACGCTATGCATTACGGGGCTCCCAGGGGCAGATAAGAGTTGGTCTCTCTCCGAGAATAATTATCAATTTAACAATGATTACTGCCTGATGACATTTTCCCACATCTGCAAAGCGCACTGGAAGGACACAAACCGAGGACAATATTTTCCTGATACAGGGTTTATTACTCAAGTAAGGGTAAAAAAAGTATCTGATTAGAAGGCTACTTGAGTACTGAGAATCATCTGGTCTAATATTTTTAAAATGATGACATCGAACAGACAAAACATAAGAAGTTATGGGCAAATATTGGTATTTTAAAGACTAAAGGGGAAAAATGTAAACAAATAAACAACATAATTACAAAATAACACATTTTAGACAAAATTTATACACATATACTAGACTACAGAGGGGAAATACCTTTACCATGACCTGACAGGTTTTCATACCCAAATCAACCACAGCTCCATACTTTGATAGAAAATCGAAGCCTAACAATATTTCCTCGGAAGGGATGTCAGAAACCAAAAATTCCACCACCAGGACAAGAGTGTCAAACTGGCATACTGTCTGCCAACATCCTTTGATGTACATTCTGCTCCCATTGGCTGCTATGGACTTCCCATCATAGGCCTTTAGTTTCTCTTTCCCTTCTGTCACACTTCTAGGGATTACTGAGCCAGATGTCCCTGTATCCACCAAAACATAGCAGCCACATCCATCTATTTTAGCTTTAAGATATCCAGATTTATCCTTTGGCACAACCTGGGCCTTCGTAGACAGAGAAGAGTGGGCGGGCATTTGGCCCTCTGTACATGCCCCCTCTAGTTTTCCTGAACATTCGGGCAATCACGCCGTAGGTGACGATCGCACCCACACGCCCAACAGCCTCCCTGTCCTCTGCGTCGGTCCCTAGTGGGCAAATTTCTATCACTGGACTTCACACTCTTGGGGTCAATGGGCAAAGCACGAGGCACCATTGGAGCCGAAAGGGCTCGCACCACACTTTGCAAAGTGTGGTGGACAAAGGAGTCTTGTCCTTGTCAGAACCTTCAAATAACCACCAGACACTGGTTCACAAATACAGAATCTTCATTAAACACGCACCAATAAAACTATCCCTCCCTGCTAAAAACACCCCCATATAAAACAAGCAACACACTTAGCTTTACAGTCCGTTGCGACCCCCTCCCGGGGTCAAAGCTCCAGCGCTGTCCAACGCCCCGGTAGCTAACGTTGTTGGCGGCGGTTGAATCCTCCGGGCTGGTGATCACCGGTTGGCAAGCATATGGGGATGCAGATCGCGGCGCCCTCTAATGTCCCGGCCCTGGCTAACTACAGGAGGCGGCTGACCTCCCCTCCTCTCACCGGAACGCCTCACCTCTCGCTGGCTGTCTTTGTCGCCGGCAGCCCTAAACAGCTGCGATCTACACCCAACCCCATCACCAGGGCTCCACGTCCACTCACGCAGTCAGACTGTTCTCCCAACCTCGAGCCTTCCCCAGTCTCTTCAGCTCCTCCTGTGTCCTCATCAGTGCAGTAATTCCTCACACCTGGCCCTCGGAGGTTAACTCCGCCCTCTTCACTCTACAGTACTGATCGTGATTCTGACCACTGATTGGCTAGGGGGCGGAGTCACTGGTTGCTCCGGAGTTTTTTGCTTTCTGTTTCACTGCCTGCAGCTATTTCAGCTGAGTTGTGTTTCTGTGGAGCAAACAAGTTACCTTACACTGTTTACTGATCCCCTCATGCTATTTTTCACAAGTGAAAATCGTACACCCACCCCCCGCGACCTTGAGTGTACAACTCCCGAGAGCTGCGTGAGTAAAGTAGTGAAGAGACGGCGGCTCATGCCGCGGCTCCAGGAGACTGCAAAACCCGACGTTTGCAACCAGTGTGATAAATATGCTGATCTCTTGGCTGTGACCTTTTAGCTTTTCATAAGCAATTTGTCTTTTGTTTTTTTTTTACATTTATTTCAGAGTCAGCTGGCTGCGTGTTTTAGCTGTAGTAAACTGGGAAAGCAGGGTGTTTGGTTTTAAGGTGACAGACTAGGACTACATTTAGACGGGGTGAAATTAAAAGGTCATGCTAGTTGCTTCATAAGGTTTTATCCGACCATTTAAAATCATGTGATCAGGCCTGTTTTCTGATCCCATGATCAGACAGGATCATCCGTATTAATAACAGTAATAAAACGTTGCATATGATAGTGAGGTGAACCTGTCCTTGAGTTCTTATGGATGGTTTTATCTCAGAAGTGTGGTGCTTGAATTTTTCTGCGGGATAAGTGTATGATCACATTTTACAGCTGAATGTACAGATGGCATGCTCAAACTAATGTTCAACCCTGTAGGACTCTTGTGTTGGTAGGTAATTGGACATAATTCAGGAACTGAAAAGACGTCAGATTTTAGTCTGAAAAGTGAAACAAGGAAATGAAATGTACTGGGAGAGAACAAACACCGTAAATGGTACAGCAGGCGTGCAGCTTGTGGCTTATCTAAACCTGAAGGTTAAATATGCTGGAGGAGACTCTAATAAGGTGTTAACTTAATGTAACCTGAGGTTGTCAAACTGACAGTTTATTAACTAGCTGTTCAAAGTGTCTCTCTCTCAAAATATGATAAGAAAATGGCTAGTTTGTTCATTTAAATGGAGTTTTGCTTTATGTTGATCTTTGACATTTTATCTAATGAAGTAAAATAAGTTCTTTGTAATTGCTAGATGGTTTGGGTTTTGGTTCAGTCCATGCTCAGAGTGCGATGGTACTCGCTGGTAACATTAACTTAAAATTAGACATCAGGTCTCCATCTGATTGAATGAAGTCAAAATATCCTGTTTGTTCGCCACTGCCCTCTTGTATTTTTGGCACCAGTCCGTTTATTCGGGATGTGATGACATCTGTTCCCATGTCGGTGTAGATTCTCAGTCATCAAGGACAGGATTATCTTGAGTCGAGGCATGTCCTGCTGGTAGGACCTTCCCAGCTCTACCCAGGGCACGCTGTAGTGATTATGTCTCTGCTGGCCAAGGAACACCCTGGAGTCTCAGAGTTGGAGCTGGCAGAGATTCGTGGGTTAGAGGAAGGTTTGGGCCTCTCCGCACCCCCCCCCCCCCCCCCCCCCCCCACCCCCCAATCCAAGTCTGGATAAGCAATCAATAATGAACCGACACTCTTCCAGGATGCTTCTTTATTTAGGAAATTTGGAATTGAAGTATCAGGCTTATGCTCTAAACCTAAATCAAGTATGGCCTATTTATACTAAATAAGTAAGCATATACAGACTTAGCCTTATGACATTTCAGTACATTGTGAAAGAGCTTGTAGATGCTAACTGAGCAGTTCATAGTAAAATCAGCATGCTTCGCTCACCTCACTTTTCTTGATTTGTGATTGGAGCAGTCCCGATGTCTTTCCGAAACTGACCAGGATACTACACATGGCAGGAATATCTGATGGGATTAACTTTAGAACCATTATGTTAATCAGGGATGTCCAAGATTGTCACAAAGGGAGACTCAGACCAATAATCAACAAAGTTATCTTGCTGTGTGAACCAGGCTTGAGGCACCAGCACATTTTCACTTTTTCCTTCAAGGCTCATAATGAACCAACCAATCACAGCCAAGCATCCTCTGCTTGTTCAATCAGATACCAATCACAGCAGAAGCCAGCTCACATATCAACTTTTTTTGCCAACATAAGACAATCTGCTTTATCCTGTACTCCAGTGTTTCTGCTAAGACCTACCGTTCATTTATTTCTAGTGTCTAAGTTCCCAGTCTTTAAAATGAGGGGAAATTAGTTTATGAAGACGAAAGGACCACAGTGTCTTTCATTAAATGCCGTTTAGGTTTGCTGAGCGTTAATAACTTTAGCAGTCCTACGATCCTTTGTTCCACACACATAAGCTGATTTGATTCAGCCAGTGTTGAGTTTATATTTCATTGTGAAACAACTCTCAGACACTTTTACTTTCTAGAGGGGAACACTTCCAGTCTTTGCTACTGCTTTTATAAGAATCCATTTGTTCCTTTTTTTTTTTTTTTTGCTTTAATGGGCTAAAAATATCCAACTGTTGGGAAGTGCCAGCGTAGAGTCTTAGAAACAACATTGTTCATTCAATAGAACCTTTCCCAGGCATTGTATTGTAAATAGTCGTGGTAATAATGTCAAAAGTACTTTTCAGGGACTGTGTTTTTGCTAGCTTTACACCTTCTGCTGTAGAACAAAAGGCATTACAACATTTTATTTTCAACAATTTCTCTCCCTTCTTTCAGTGCAAAGCTTCCCAATTTGCAACATCAGTATAATTTTCTTCCTTAAGGTCACTTCTACTTTTGTGTTCCCGTCAGAATTGACGGCGTGATGCGCACCATGAACACGGAGAAGCTGATCAAGACGCTGCCCATCATTCAGAACCAGCTTGACGCTCTGCTGGATTTCCAGGTAGGAAGATTTTATTTACTTATTTGTTTACTTGGTGCACTCTTGTGGGTGACGTGCTTGAGTCACTTTCCAATTAAAATGTAAATTGTAACGACAAGAAGTTTGTAAAGTTTGATCCCCCTGCATGTCGAGGCATGAGAAACAGAAATGGTGACAGATCCGCCGTCAAAGTGCGTGCTCAGAGGGAAGACGGGGATCGGGTGGGGATTTGCTGAAATTGGTGGGTGTATTGTGGTTTGTGCCAGAGAGCTTCAAAGACTGATAAAAATGGATGATGATGGAAGTTTCTCATTGGATTGCACAGAGAATGTGTCGCTCCAGTCTGTGGGTGTTGTTGTGCTCAGCGAGCTTTAATGACGATGGGGAAAGGTGTCATTATCCAGAGGAAAACACATCTATTTGGATGCTTGAGACACAAAATGTTCTTTTGTGAAAAGCTTTGGTATGATGTGATAACATCACTTTTACTCTCTGTCTGCTCTCTCCAGGCTAATCCCAATGAGCTGACCAATGGAGTCATCAACTCGGCCTTCATGCTGCTCTTCAAAGACTCCATAAGGCTCTTTGCTGCTTACAATGAAGGAGTCATCAACCTGTTGGGTAGCTCACCTTCCTGCGTGCCATCATGGCAGCATGACATTACTGTTACGGCCTTCTGGAGTCATTTAAGGGTTCCCAGGAAAGGGGTGTGCTGTGGAATGGGAAAACAAACAGAAATTTTACAGGCTCGGTTTTTATTAGAAAAGTACAAAATGAATTAATACTCATTAAGTCTTTATTTTTGAATAAAGGTGTAATTTAATTTAACTACTAGAACTAGGTGCAATGGTAAAAAGACTTGTTCTTTGAATCGGTGATCGCCCAACAGCCATTTTATTATTGAGAAGAAGGAGAGCTGGAGCACTCATAAGTAAAACTATTTTATTAGTGCAAATAACAAAACTAATGTTTTGACACCTTATGTGTGTGTTTGTCAGTTTCCTCTGAAAAGTTTGGCAGTTTGATTTTAAACAGGCGAGCTTAACAAGGAAATGCTTTTCTCATTGGGTTAGCTCTCCACAGTAGGAGGAGCTACTATTTAAAGCAAACTCATAAGCCATGGGCATAAAAAAACAAAAAGTGCACAAGAAAAGCAAATCTACGGAATAGTGAGGCTAGAAAGTATAAAAGATATGTCATCTGATTATTACAGTGAGACTATCCCCATGTAAAATAATCAATTCCTCTAATGAATCGAGTCTTGAGGTTAAACATTGTTGAAGCATAGCACATTAAAATTTCAAGTTATAAAATGGCTAAATGATGCAAGATAGATTCATTTCTTCATTAATTCCTGATGGTTTGATGGTGTTGGGTGTGCGGATCCAAAAGTACTCTCTCCTCAGGAGAAGGTTGATGATGTCACCTCCCCTGGAGGGAGCTGAGAGTTTTTCAATCCCCCAGAAGCGGAGGGACACTGCTGATCCATGATTTGCCTCCTGGTAGTTGCGTGCCATTGCATAATCCAGATCTTTGGTTTTGTGTTCTGAAATCCTGATCTTAAGGGGTTTTAAATTATTATTTTGTTGTCATCCCGCAGGGGCAAAACGTTAGTTTTAGTTATTTGTACCATTATAATATTTCTACTCATTTGAGTGCTCCAGCTCTCCTGCTTCTCATTCTGATGTCCTCCAGCTGTAGAGCACCAACCAGAGTGGATGACGTGCTGAGAGGCTTATCTTCTACCATTTTATAGGCTAATGTTTGATGTACAATCTAAGGTTTTTAATTTTCTAATATGTCTCTGTTATGATCAATGTTACCTTTTATTCATTATCAGTTAGCCAATTGTTTATCCATTGATTTATTTGACAGGCTAATTACAAATCAGTCACTTTGCTAATCGAACAAGTCATTGGCCAATTACAAAATAATCAAGAATTATTTGAATCAAAACTGATTACTAGCTGTTTAATAATCAACATGATCATTGTTTACTTGACTAATTAGTACTGGGGTTGAATAGTTGGCTTGCCATTAAATCTTTGGACATTTAATGCGAAACTCCTGAATGACTGGCAATGGTCTGACTGAAGGCAGGCTGATTAAACGCTGGCTGATGGTTTATTAAGAGCAGGCTGCTGATCAGTCACCCTACTGATGAGTCTTCTTGACTGAAAAGGAATCAAAAATGGTCTTAGTTATGGCCGTCCTGTTGATCACTAGTTGGTTAATCCAAAACCAACTACTAGTTGATTAACTATTTATTCCCTGGCCTATTCATTAGTTGGACAACTAATCTATTGCTTGATTAAGAATTAATTAGTTGGCTAATTACAGATTAATCCAGAAAAACATCCAACTAGATGCTAATCAATTGATTGATTAATTAATCATCAGTTAACCAATTAGTCAATCAGCTGCCCGGTTAATTGTTAATCAGCCAACCAAGTTAGGATTCATCATTAGCTGATGAATCACTATCAGGTGACTGATTTTGACTAATCATTTTCTTAGAGCCAGGCCAATTAATCATCAATAAATCAGCCAGCAATTAATCGACCTGCCTCTAGTTTTAATGTGTCCTTGGCTGCTCGTTGGGTGGACACGGCAGACATGGCCAAGGGAAAAATGGGATTTATAAACACTTTAGAGCTAATTTAAAGCGATGCTTCAAAGGCTGTTCCATGGTGGTCAAGTTTCTGACTCAAGAACCACTGAGACCAGTTAGAAAGCAGTGTTGTAAGGCGTTAGAAACTGGCTACTGTCTCTGGACTGAAATGAAGTGAAAAGCCTGTCCTCTTGTTTGATGAGTCCAACTCACTCCCATCTTCTCTAGTAGGGTGTTCCATTTGTTTTTAACCGTCCTCTGCATTTTCTTTTGTCCTCACAGAGAAATACTTTGACATGAAGAAGAACCAGTGTAAAGACGCTCTGGACATCTACAAGAAATTTCTCTACAGGATGACCAAACTGTCAGAGTTCCTCAAAGTGGCTGAGGTAATTTTAGTAACTGCCAATGTTTTTTTCCTCAGTTGTTCTTTCTGATGTTTTATAATTCCAGTTATTAAAACATGAAAACACGAAGCAGATGTGCTCAAAGCTTTAATACGTTCATTTTTCACATGAAAACTGCAGATTTTGCTCACTCAGCTTTGCTGAAACAAGTATACCCCCACTGCCCCATATTTGCTACACACACACACACACACACACACACACACACACACACACACACACACACACACACACACACACACACACACGTACATACATATGTGTGCCAAAAATAACTGTAAGATGGAGGAGGTGGTTAGGCGCTCCGTTAGCTCCCTCCACCTCTGCCCCCACGCTCCTCCCTCCCTGACAAAGATGGATACTCAAGGGGTTCTCCTTTTCCCCACTGCCCACAGCTCATCCCGCTTTCTTCGTTTCTTCCTCCAACAAACCTAAAAAAAAGCAGAAACCATTCCCACTAAAATGTCTTTTAATTCTGGGACACCCTGCCTTGTAAACAAACAGATAAATATACAGTGAATAATTAATGCCCTGCTTTGTTTTCAGATTTCAAACGTGTCAAGGATTTTTTAAACTTTTATCCGAGATTTGTTTTTCCACCACGTCCTGGGTGAATACATGTCTGACGTAGCTCTGATGCAAGAACTTTTAAAAGCCTAAAGCAACAAATTTAGTCTGGATAAATAAGACTTTTATTGAGTAAATTTTTTTACTTGACAGGTGCAGCAACTCAGCTAAGCAGAGCAGCTAAGCTAGGGGAAGTGGCGCAACGAGAAATGTGAATGGTTTGATGCAGAAGGGATCAAAAGAGTAAACGCAGACTCGCATTTAGAGGGGAGATCAAAGACGAGGAGGAATCCTGTTCAGAGCTGAGCTGCCTTCCTGATGTTTGCTAACGATTGCAAACTATTTATTTTCACTGGACCCAGAGGGATCCTCTATTGGCCTGTGTCATATAACACATTGCAGACCAGAGCGAGGCTGTTTTACGGTGCCAGAGAGAGTCGAGAAAGAGAGGGAGGGTAAACTAATGTGACAGACAAACTATAAAATAAGAAAAGAAGACGTACAGTTCACAGTAGCTGTCTGTGTCGAGCTGTATTTCAGGGCTCTGTCACAGCGGGTCACTGAGGGTTCGTACACCGGTGCTTCTGGCAGGCAGCCACGGATGGAGACATAAAGTACAAGTGAACTGCTACAGTCTGTGCTATCAAGCTCTCAGCGTTCTGGATTCTACGTCCATCATATCTCTAAAACCAGCTCCTCACACCGTTACACCGACTCGGGCCGAATATGGGAAGCAATTACTCGACTCGAGAGGATAAAGCAAAAAGAAAGTCAATTTATCTGCCGGGGAAGGACGGTTATTACACTTAGACTTTAGGAAAGTGAGAAATTTCTTGAAATTAGTTGGAAATGATTAACTTCAAGGTTAGAAAATACTCAAAACGAACTCGCCACACTTCATTAACAAACCAGTTTAAACCTAAACATTAAAAAACCAGAGCACATCACGGGAGAATTCTTCTTAGTTTTCATCTTCATGTTTCTTAGTCTTGAAGGGAATTTTCAGCCATTTTGGGGGGAGAAGTGTTTATGTGGAAAAGTGAATTATTATCTCACATAATACAGATGCCTGCTCAAGTCCTGCAGGATCACAGCACAGATAAAACGTGACTCGCCACGAGCACGGAGCGGATGTGGTTTGGTTTCTGTACGGCTTCCGCAAACACTACAAGTCACCGATTCCAATCAGCATTCTCACCGACCGTGTGCATGGAGTATATTTTCTAGATGCTGCTCGCGGATTGCCATGAAGTTAAAGAAATTATGACCCAGACAGGAAGTGAGATAATGTTCAGGGAATCGCATCAGATGCATTTCAAAATAAAACCCAAGTTGCCTTTTTTTAACAGCTGTTTTTTTTAATTAATGACAGGGATATCAGTTTACAGTTTGTGATAGTTAGCGTTGTTTTTTATTTGTATTATTTGAATAAATAAAGTTCAACGAAAGTAACATGAGAGAAAAATCGTGTGAAACCCTGAGATTTGGTGTTGTTGCAGGAACTGATTTCCAGAGAGGTTCAGCTCATGAAGATCTGTTAATCCTAAAGCCGTGCAGATAGCGGTCTGCATCCGTTCTTTAGTCCGTGTGAATCAGCTGTTAAGTGTGTCGCTGCTGTCCTAAAACAGTTCCCGTCAGCTTCATTTCACAGCGATGCTTTCACAGAATTGTGAGTTTTATATCAGTTATTTCCGATAGAAAGTCAAGAATTTAGTTGTTCAGATTTTTGTTGTCTAACCACAGATTTCTGTATAAATAACCTTGTCAGTGGTGTAGTTTCATAAATAGTTGTATTTTTTACAGATTTGAGCTGTTTTAAGATGGCAGCAAATGCACTTTTCAGCGTATCCAATCATATTGTGCTTCACAAAATATATAAATCATCTTATTATGACACGATGCCTGCTTCACATTAAAATGAACCGAAAGTTCCAGAAGTGTCAGAAAACCAAGAAATCATGCTCCGGATCAAAGAATTCAGCTAAATTCCAAGAGTTAGTTTTTAAGTAGCTTGATAATATTTTATCAACACTTCATTCACCCCCTTAATGCCTGATAGTACAAGGACATTAAGTAAAGGTTATTGGTGACCCGTTCGAGTGGGACACAATGTTCTTTTATCTGTCTGAACACGTCTACATGAATTTTATTTGTTTTTGTTGATCTCAGTGTCTGAGTGTCACCACAGCATCCTTCACGCCTGCTCCCACTCACGGGTCGCACACGTTTATCACTGTGATCATCATCAGTCACTGTCGGCCCATCAGCCGGATCACATGTCATTTGCTTGTTTGTTTGTGTTGACGAAGCCACTGCATGACATAACGATTCCCGTATTTTTGTTTTCTTCTCCATTTGACCCCTCCTCCCCTTTTCTATTATTTTCTGTCTTGTTTGTTTTTTGACGACAGCAAGTTGGAATAGATCAGGGTGACATCCCAGATCTCTCACAGGTCAGTGAACATGTCACCTTCCACTTCTCTATCTGAGTCTTGCTTTTTTGTCCTCGTTTTTCTCTTTTTTTTATTTATTTTTTGATGTGCACTTCTGATTTCATTATTTCTCTTCATGCTTTCATACAAAGACTCACATCTATTTGAATCCATGTATTCCAACCAACCCAACCTTCCAATTCACCGTTCATCTGGTCTTTTTTTTTTAAATGTATTTACCGAATTTTGTCTAATACAACTGTTTAAAGTCTTCCCTTCTTTGTTTTTACTCCTGTATTCTCATTGCTAATCCAGGTCGAGGTGTACTTGATTAGCTGCCGCCATCAGCAGAACTGATAAAAGGGTTTGTGCGTTTGTTTTAAAACCTCGGGCAAATGCGAACAATAAGCTCGGACCTTGAATTGGAAACAAAACAAAGATAATGACTCGAAGAAAAACTCCCAGAATGCTTTCTGTGTAATCATCAAGTGTACAGATTTTGTTTTTATCTAATTGTGAAACTGGTTCTGAAATAGCTTGAAGCATAAATTATTTGTGTGTTGGTGAACTTCAAACACGAAGTAGATTTCCTCGGTTTGCCACCTTTAGATTGTTGAACATGATGGAAATGAAAGTCTTCAGCCTCGGTAACAAAACGAGGTTGCAACTAATGATTATTTTTCCTTCTGTACTTGTAATGGGTGGCCTTAAACAGTTGATTTAAACACTGCTGTAAGGGCCTCATTAAATCTCCTGTTTGTTTTCTCAGTCATCGGTTCAAAAACTCTAAGGCCTCGTGTTTACAGCCGTGTAAAACACAATGAAGTCTTAACTCTTTTGAGGTTCTGTTACTAGATAATGTTTGATGACTTAGAAGAATTATTGAAACTATAATTCGGTCATCAGTTCAGTTGCGAATAAAGTCTTTGGTTTTAGGTGAAAATAATTATTTTGAAGAATTTAACGGTGCTTAATAGGAAAAATGAGGAAATCAGCTGAAAACATCCTAAATGTAAGGCTTTCAAATCACGAGGGATCACTGGAGGTAGTTTGCCTCTTTGTGTGTGCTTTCCATCAGATGGTTCTGTGGCAGTCGAGTCTTATGAATGACATTCATCAGGTCTTTATTTATTTATTTATTTTACTAACATGACTATTATGACAGGCGTTGCCAGGCCTGACTCTTGAGTTGATAGTGGTCATTGACTGTGGAAAAATCCAAACATCTAAAAGCGTTTGGATCATATGGTAACGTTCCCTGGTCCTTATTTTTCTTCAGTCTGGTGGTTCTGTGGATGGTCAGTCCTTATATTGATCAAGTCTTCCTCCAGAGTGGGAACCTTCTCAGCTCAGTGGAGGGTGTGGAATGTGACTGGGTAATAAGTAATTATACATTGATTACACCGTAAATAGGCTGATTAGTCTTATAAGGCTTCACCTTCAAAGTTGCTGTCTTCTGAATGTTTGAAGTCCTTTTTAAAACTCTGGTTTAAAATTCAAACCAAATACGTACAGCTTCAGCTGTAGTTATTAATGGTGAATGTCACAGCCGTCTACCCAGTGTTGCACAGACACACCATTCTCTTGGTGGTGCAACCATAAACCATGTGTTTGTGCTGCAGTGATCCGCATAACCCTTAGAGTCTGTAAATGTTCTGAAAACACTTTTTTCACAAGCTGCTGGCTGTGTGCATCCTACTTAAGAGTCCATGTCAGGTCTGTCCTTTGTGCACCGTTGAAGTAGTGTGATGATGCAGTAGTGTGTAACTTGACAAAAGGGCAAGATGTCTGCCTTTTGCGTGTTTATGGGTTGGGCTGAAAATACGTGTCCACCAGTTGATTATCCTAAATGTTACTGCTTTGCTTTAGAGGCAATAGATGGCTATCCCAGTTTGACAAACGCAGGTTATTTGGGTATAGAAATCACATCAAATATTTTTATTCAGTTGAATGCTTTCTTGTTAATAAATTCATATAGCTTGACTGACCATTTGTTGAACTTGACAACTTTGCTGCTTTCCAGTCCAAGAATCAACAGGACCCTTGTACGCTCTAATGAACATGGCAGATAGTTTTTGGATTAACTGTTTTTCTTCCCCTCCTCTCCGTTGCAGAAGACTAAAGGATCATACATTGTAGGTGATGGGTTGCAAACTCTGCTCACTAACCACTCCTTAAAGGAAAATTCCAGCATTTAACCTAGATTCCCAAAGTTAATTTCCCAGACATTTTCTTTCCATTGGGGACAAAAAGTCTTTGGTATCCATCCCATGTTGAGCAAGGAATGTCTTCAGTGTTATCATTAAGTGCAACAGTCAAAGAGCTTGTTTTGGCCTCTGACCGCCTTAAATTTTGCATGGCCTTAGATAAACAGAAGCAAGCTTCCTGGCATGACCATGGCTTTGCTCATTTTTGTCTTGTTTAAATGAGTGAGACTTTGGATATTTGTTTGTGGGCATAATTTTGCATCATCTAATTATATGACTAAGATGATCAGATTTTCAGTAAGCATGTGGGAAGCAATGGGCTGGGTCTGGGACCAGTTGTAGGAACGACACCTTTTAGCTTTCCTTCCAAACCTTTACTGACCGTACACCATGTGGATTCAGTTTGCTGTTATCTTTAGCATTTTAAAGAACAAACCAAAACTAAATTCTTACAGAACATCGCACGTTGCTAGAGGAACATAGCATGGTAGCAAAAAAGCATGTATTAAAGCAGCATTGCCATCAAAATAAACATCATACACACTTCAGTAATTACCAAAAAACCATGTCTTTTCAAGGCTTAACCACAAGAACAGCCCCGGTGGTCAGTTGACCAATTTTCTATTATTTCAATTATTTAATGAGGAGAAAATCATATGTGTTCTCTGGGGGAAATCTCTGATTTATGGTAACATATTTTTGTTAGATTTCATGGATGCATAGATTTTTATTAAAGTTTGTTTAATGCTGTATTATACACTGCTCACAAGAATTAAATGAACACTTTTTTTATTGGGCCTGGCATGAAATCCGTTAAACCTGTCTGATAATTTCCTGGTTGATTAAGCAGCTGAGAGCATTGTTAATCACTTTCAGCTGTATCGGTGTTCATGGACTTAACGACAGGTGCACTAAAGTGGCAACAATTGCAAAACCCTGAAAACAGGACTGGTTTAACATGTAGAGGTCATTTCAAGTTTCTCCCTCTTGATCTTTTTCGGCTGGTTTTCCACTCGTGCTAGTTTTGGCTCTCTACTGGCAGCATGAGGCGATTCCTTAACCCTACAGAAGTTGCACAGGTTGTCCAACTTCTCCAGGATGGCACATCCACACGTGCTGCAGCAAGAAGGTTTAATGTGTCTCCCAGCACAATCTCCAGAACATGGAGGAGATTTCAGGAGACTGGCGGTTATTCTCGGAGAGCTGGACAGGGCCTTAGAAGGTCCACAACCCATCAGCATGACCGATACCTGCTCCTTTGTGCAAGGCGGAATAGGCTGAGCACTGCTCGTGCCCTACAGAATGACCTCCAGAGGGCCACTGGTGTGAATGTCTCTATCCTAACAATCAGGAACAGACTTCATGAAGATGGCCTGAGGGCCCGATGTCCTGTAGTGGGCCCTGTGCTCACTGCCCAGCACCGTAGAGCGCGACAGGCATTTGCTCAAGAACATCAGAATCGGCAAGTCCGCCACTGGCGCCCTTTACTTTTTACAGACGAGAGCAGGTTCACCTTGAGCACCTGTGATAGACGTGAAAGAGTCTGGAGAAGACGAGGAGAACGTTATGCTGCCTGCAACGTCATTCAACATGACAGGTTTGGTGGTGGGTCAGTGATGGTCTGGGGAGGCATATCCATGGAGGGATGCACAGACCTCTACTGCCTAGGAAATGGTGCTCTGACTGCCATAAGGTATCGAGGTGAAACCCTTGAACCCGTTGTCAGACCCTACGCTGATGCAGCAGGTCCTGGTTTTCTCCTAATGCACGATAATGCCCGGCCTCATGTGGCAAGAGTATGCAGGCAGTACCTGGAGGATGAAGGAATTGAAACAATTGAATGGCCTTCACGATCCCCTGACTTAAACCCAATAGAACATCTGTGGGACATTATGTTTCGGTCCATTAGGCGGCACCAGGTTGCTCCTCAGACTGTACAAGAGCTCAGGGATGCCCTCACACAGATCTGGGAGGAAATGCCACAAGACACCATCCGTTGTCTCATTAGGAGCATGCCCCGACATTGTCAAGCATGCACACAAGCTTGTGGGGGCCGCACAAGATACTGAAAAGCAATTTGAGTTGCAGAAATTAAGCTAGTTCATTTCACTCTGATTTTAGGGCGTCTACACAATTGAGCCCTCTGTAGGCTGATAACTTTTATTTCCATTAAAAGACTTGGCATCATTTTGTTCCTAAGACATTGCCCTGTCGTTATTTGTGTAGATATCCAACTTCATATTGAGATCTGATGTATCTAATGTGTTTCTTTAAAGTGTTCCTTTAATTTTTGTGAGCAGTGTATGTTTGTATCACACAAAAAACAGCCTCTTTTTGTGTTATTTTTGTTTGAAAAACTTTTAGCTGATTTAATGATGTAGGATTTTGATTAAGGTGTAAATGCTGGGGTCAAAATGACCCCTTTTCGCTGTTTTAGAGTTTAGTTTAGTTTAGTGCTGTTCTGGTGTTGATGGAGTTTTAAACTGCTAACCTTCTCTGCCATCATGCTAATGCTAGCTTGTATGCAAACAAGAACGAGTAAAGGTTCCGTTCATGCTGTGCGTAGAGTTGGTGTCTTCGCTGATGTAGAGAAACCTTTTTTCCTGCTGCTTGTGGGGTCTTACTGTTAAGTTGTAATATATTCAGCCGCCACAGACCCAAACCCACTTCCTCCACTAATGGATGGGCTAGTCTTTGTTATAGCTGTTGTTTAGAAGGTGAAGCACAATGTTAGAGACAATATAGATAATAGAAAATGTAGTTTTGTTTTTGATTCAGTACCTTAAATAACATAAATCTGACTCTTTTAAAGCTTATTTGTAGTTGCAAATTATTTAAATTATCTGATTCTAAACATTCTTGTTCCCCAAAAAATAGCAGAATCAGAGTAAATATGGTTTAAAATAGTGGAATTTTTCTTTAAGATCCTGCATGACATGCATACTCACTGTGTTGTAATGTGTGTGTAAACACACACTGATGTGTCGAGCATTCACAGACGCACTCTTCACATTTTTATTCTCCCTTTGTGGAGTTCTGATATCATCTCAGTACAATGCATGTTCTGGTTTCAGATGGCTTGCTTCTAGCTGTCATACACACACACACACACACACACACACACACACACACATGCTCAGATGTCTGGCTCAAGAAGCAAAAGGCCATGGAAGCTCATGAATAGGAAATGAGGCTAATCCTTCCCTCCATCTTTATCTGCATGAAAATGTGTCTGCTGCAAGTTTTTTGTTGCTCATTTGAAATCCACGCTCCTGTTCCAGTGTTGTTTATTTAATATCCAACCTTTATGACAACATTGATTCAATGTGCTTCACATGACATGCTTTAATAGGGAATGACCTGGTTACTTTGGTGTAGAAAGACAAAAGTCTCCATCTAGTTTGGATATTTGCGCTTTTTAAATATATTCCTCAGAGGAAGTTCAGAGATGTGTGTGTGTGTGTGTGTGTGTGTGTGTGTGTGTGTGTGTGTGTGTGTGTGTGTGTGTGTGTGTGTGTGTGTGTGTGTGTGTGTGTGTGTGTGTGTGTGTGTGTGTGTGTGTGTGTGTGTGTGTGTGTGTGTGTGTGTGTGTGTGTGTGTTTTGAGCTAATATTGACCTGAAGTCTTTCTTTTTACCCATTGAACCCCACTGACAGTGAAAGATGGCCTCTTTTCATCCTTCGTTTCTTTACCAACCAGGCCACATTTTGGCGAGAGCTGATCTGAGCCAGCCGTGACCTCCTAAAGGAGTTTGTGTTTGAGACGGAGAGACAGACATGATGTTGTCTCGTTTGCACAGAGGAAGAATTTTCCCTCCTTCTTGCTCTTCAGCCCAGCTCCAGCTTTTTTTGTTTTTCCATCTTGTGTTTTTAGGTTTTGGTTTGAAAACAAGCCCTGATTGTGTTCTGATTAGTGCAGCATCCTGGCTGACTTTTGCTCTTTTCTTTGTGAGCATTAATGAGAAACCTAATGAGCAGAAGACAGTTTTTTTAGCAGCACAAACAACTGGAGCTCCACTTAGATTTGCAGCTGAATTTGTAGCAGCATAGCTACAGCTCCTTAGTAACATGCTTAATGTTGTCCAATTTAGTCCAGCTGTCTTTTACACACCATTTATTTTTCTTTTGTTAAATATTTTTCAAGTTATTAAAGGAATGCATGTCAGTAATCATCATTCCTGCCAGTATTTAACCTAGGGTAGTTTAACGTTTGGTGAAATCTTTAAAATCCTGGTCCTCCTGGGCCACCGTCCTGCACACAGAGCTTTTTCTGCTTCAGCTCATCTGGTTTTCAATCAGTAGGCTTCTGCAGAGCTTGATGACCTGCTGACTATTTAATCAGGTGTGTTGGAGCAGGGAAATGACTGAAACATGCTGGACAGGAGAACCAGGGTTGGACACCACTGACCTACGCAGGACTCTCAGCTGCTACTACTACATCAAAATGTAGGCTAATTTCTCTAAAATTAACAAATGTTTAGCTAATTATTGTGTTTGCTTATGTTGATTATCTGTGGTGACCATCTTGAATTATTAGTAAATGATCATCCAGTTACTTTGAGTTTCAACAAAATCAATTCGGGGTTCGTGAGACTGTTTGCTAACAAACAGAATTTACTCAACATTTAGGTTTAAAGCAAATGTGTTGGGAGATTTATACCATAGGTGACTGGGACGAAGCCAAACTTCTGCAATCCCAAATTTTAACTTAATACACATGAAACAATTTAATTTAGCGAAGTCCAGCAGTTTTCTATCCTGTCAAAACCTGCTTTTTTATCTTGTTTTGAGAATTTTATGGTAATCAAGAGCCGAATGTGTCTTATTCATTGATCTTGGATATTTTTTCTTTTTTCAAATGCAATTATCTTAACGCACTAGCAGAAATTTTCTCTTGATTTAAGATTTAGACTAAATGAAAGTATTTTAAACTTGTTTGAAGGCTAATTTTTGGGGTTGATTAGCTGTGGTGTTTGAATTAGAGTGACTCCTAAAGTTGATCAGTTATAAAGGTATTGTCAGTGATTCTTTTGAGACTCGCTAAAGTTAATCTAATGACTCATTGCTTATAGTTTGGGTTTAATCCCAGTTTTTCAGTTATTTCACACCCCTTTTTAGCATTTGGGATAGTCAAAAGTACTGGATGCTTGTAATATTTTCCCAAGGGCCTATTTACCCCCAAGTTCCCAAGTTTTAGTTCAGAATCTGAATAGTTGAGTTTTTGACACGCTTTGATTTCTAAGGTGTTGTCTAAATCCAAAGCCTAGAAACCTTGACAAACCGTAGAGGTAACAAATGGTTTTGCGGGTCGGTCAAGCCGTGCTCCATCGAAGCCTCAGCAGATCTACCATTATTGGCCTGAACAGTTTCAGGTCCAGCCAACCACAGCGTTGTTGGTGTAGAGACTTTGGGTGATGGAGGAAAACTAAAAAGATGTCAATTCAGAAACAGCGCTCAAGTGAAATGGCTTTGGCATCAACTCTGGACAACTTACACTTGGCCTTTTTGTTTGAGACCGAGGTACTGAATTTGTTTCTTTGAGGGTGTATGGCGGACCCATTGACTGATTTTTGTAGCGAAGAATACGTCGTATAGCTCTGATAGGTGTTGTCCAGTTGTGTGCGGAGACTGTTTGAGAGACAACCGTAGATTATGCGTCATGACTGAATTGTTGCAGTGGGTCATGGCCAGACTACATATTTACATCTATAGGATGGATTGCCAGTCGGGCAGACTACGATGGGAAACTGTTGCCTTAATGGCACAGTTTGAAGCCCGGACCTTCAGTTATGTTGGCTTTATATTTATGTAAGTAATGACGATAACTCTCAGACACTAACACACAAAATATGTTTCATTTTCTATAAAGCATGCAAGAGTCATGGCGATTTTTGTGTTTGCCACCGTGGATTAGTTGTGGTGGCCATCTTGACCTGTTTGACTCCACAAGTGAAAGGCTTCATGAGTGATTTCACCTTTTTGTTGGCAGGTTAGGGTGTTTCCAAGTGCAGCCAGAAAGTTTAGTCAGAACTAACTCAGAGCTGAGCCAAACAGGGTGTGGGGTGCTCAGCAGGATCTGTAGGTGTCGTTACCCACCCGCTCATGTGGAGTTATAAGAAGAATCTCTCCTCTTTGCCCTCAACCTTTCTCCCGCACTCTTTGTGTTTCAACCTCCCTCTTTGTTCTCTGTCTCTCTCCTTTGAGTCCCCTGCTAACAATGTGAGTGTTTGCTGCATGTTGCCATGGCTATTCTTGGAGCCTGATGCACTCTGTTACCTTCCTGTGAGACAAACTAACGCTGGGTTCTCCGTTCTGTGTGTATTTGTGTGTCTTGGTGAGGTTTTGTATTTAAAAGAGGGAGACTGGGATTTCTCCAGAGCCTAATGGTGAATTTGTGTTTGCTCAAATCTGTGTCCCTTTCAGGCCCCCAGCAGCCTCCTGGAGGCTCTGGAGCAGCACTTGGCCTCTCTGGAGGGCAAGAAGACGAAGGAGTTGAATGCAGACGCCAGGTAGTTCAGATCCCTCCAAGTTAATAAAAGGTTTTAAAAGATTGTCCTGGAATGGAGTTGAACATTGTCATTTTCTCCTGCTTTGTTCAGAGCGTCCACCCTGTCTAGCGCCGTCTCGTCTCTGTCCTCCACGGGCATGTCCTTCAGCCGTATGGACGAGAAGGAGAAGCAGCAGGCTCTGGAGGAGGAGCAGGCCAGGCTGCATGCTCTTAAGGTAACAGGGTTTAGTAGATTTGGGTTGAATCACCTCTGAAGTGGTGCTGGACTCCGAGGTGTAGCAGCAGAGAGGCCATCAGCAGCAGGTCAAGGAGTTACTGCTGCGTCTCCTTTCTTCTCCGTTAGTTTATCGGGTTCAAAATGGCCGGATTCAACTTAAATCAGGTTATTAGCTGCAATCTGAGCTCATGTTGGGTCTATTTAAGTGTTCAGCATAATTTATTAGTCGCTTTCAGAGGATTTCCAGGTCATGTCAGACTGTAACCACTCGTTTTTAGGGAAAGAAATACTCCAATCCGACTCTGATCTCAGCTTGTGTAGATGTCTACAAGCATTTATTTATTTATTTATTTTTGAAGCAGCATATACTGTTGTGTAACCATTCTCAGCAGGATGCTCCTTCAGAACAAGAGCGAGAGAGAGAGAGACCAAGTAACGACGGGCGCTTTAGAGGGTATGGATGTAATTAAAGCTATACGAGTAGAAGGGCCCAGGCTCCAGTAAAATAAATAATATAGATGATCGATAGACTAAAATCTATTTTACTGCATGTTTGGTTTGGTCTCAGGCCTCAGCTCTACCATCCCTGATATGTTTTCAGCTCAGGCTGAAACCCAGAAGTAAAAACAAAAGTACCAAGACCGTGTTTACAGGCTTCTTGTGGGTGCTTAAAACCTTGAAAACGCATAAAATGTAATCTATTGTTTTCAAGGTTTGTAAATTCTTCCATTTTTAATGAAGTGCGACGGGGATGGGTTTTGCACAATATCATCTGACTTTAGTGGGACGATCAGTTTTTATTTATATGTGTCGTTCACGAATGTGAACCCCTATGATGTGCTGGAAAATCTCTAAAAATACAAAATAGAATAGACTTTATTGATCCCACAGTGGGGAAATTCTCTTCTTTCAGCTGCAGAAACGGAGAAAAGGAAGATAAATAATAAAGGTGCATGTCTACACAGATAGGTAGCAGGCTAGTGTTGTAATCTTTAACCACTAAAAACCACAGAGAAAAAATGAAACGTGGGCTCCAGAAATGTGCAGCACAAAGGACACCGATGTACTTTGTTATGGCTCAAGTATTGAACGCGTACTTTAATATTGCATATTGCAAAGCATCACCTTTAAAGTTATTTTGGCAGAGGTGAAATAAACGTGTAAATTCATAATAGGTCAAGCTGCAGGAAGAGGATTTTACTGTAAAACAACAGCAAATTTATGTTGTTTATTTATTTTAAATCAGAAGTCAAACTTTTCAACACAAGCAAGGTTTAATACCGACAGGATCTAAAGTCTTTGGTAAAGTGGACGCGAAACTTCCAAAACAGCTTACTGGGAGCTTTAAAAATATTGACTTTAAAAGATGATGGTAATTAATTTTGTGCATCCAAAGCTAATCCCCATAATCTTGTTTAGATCTGGCTTTCTTTGGTGAGAACAAAGCAGAACGTTTACTTTAAACACACGTGATACCCACAATGTACATTTTGCTAACAGACTTTAACACAACACAGCAATGTCATAAATCCTGTTTGATTGTGTTCGTTTAGCTATTTATTTACTGTTTTATTAGTTTGTTACTGTTGATGGTTCCTGCCGGAGTTACGGGTCAATCATTGTTTTTCTACAGCTTTAATCAACCACAGGTTAAAGACCAGGAAGTCGGTGAAAACTGTTTTACAGTCACTCGCTTTGTTCGGAGCTGAGGGTCACCTACAGCATGTACTCTGACACCGTGTGTGAGATTTTGCATAAGATCCCACCTAACCGCACGTTGAAGCTTGACCAAAGTTGACGTACTATGTCTAACCTTAGATGACCTTAGAGTAAGACCCTGGCGATTTGCATTCCTTCAATAAATAATAGGCGTTTCACTAGAGATGAATGTCTGTAAACAGGAAGTAAACAGGAATATTGCATTGTTTGATGTTGTGATACTACATCATTATTGTGGTTTACTGTGTGGTGCATTTCAAACTCTGACTGCTAGGTGGCAGCAGCTTTTATTGCCTTCAGTCTGTGGGAATGAGGTCTGGTTGTATCTGGATGTGTCTGGGAAGCATCTTGCCTGTGTTTTCTGTTTAAATTAAGTCTTAAAAATTGCAAAATCTTCTTGCTTTTGGTACAACAACATATCATATCTCTTGTATTGGGATGTGTAATGTGTATCTGTCATGGTGAAGAGCGAGCTGAGCCGGAGGACGGAGCTCTCGGTTGACCAGTGGATTTACGTTCCTACCCTCACCTATAACATAATATGTTCTCAGATTCTTCTTGCCAGTAAACATTTCCACCAATAACTGTTTTTAAGAAAGAGATCGGTGCAGGGTGCATTTTATTCGATATTGGAGAAAATGGCATCAAACGAATTCATTAAACTTCAGCTATTTCCTCGTCAGACCAGACCAAGGTTTTTGAGTTTGAGGTCTAAGCTGTGTCTGAGGAGGAGGGCCAGCAGCTTCTGTGGTGAGCTGAGCCTTGGAAAAGAAAAATATGTTGGCATCGTTCTTTCTCCTGCAGCTCTGTGAGTTCTGCCTTACAGCAAGCTGTGAGTGAGCAGAAGCCGTGGGACTACAACTCCGATGCACAGCAGCTCGCAGAGAGTGTGGGCACGGCTGTATGTTTACGAAAAAAGCTGTTTTTGTTTTGCGTGTGAGCTGGAACGTGTGATCATGCTCCACCTGTGCTGCCGGGGAGTCTGTGTGTGTTAGTGTAATTGAGTTTTAGTGTGTTGTTTACGCCGTGCCCTTGGTTGCCCAGTTTATTGCTGAGGTACACCGATTACTTTTGGGTTTAGTTGGAAGAAGAGAGGCAAGATTACGCTGGAGTGAGAAGAGAACACGGAGAGGGAGAGAAAGCGCTGGGGTTAGGAAGGGTCGTCCAGAACTTCCAGCCCAGCTGCACGCTCTCTCTGGTGTCCATATGGACCCGACACGCACATCCAGAACCACTTACACACTCAGCTACTGTCCAGCTGGGGCCTTAGCCCAAACAGTAACCGTTTTCTTTCTTCGTTTGTTCTCACTACACCATCAGAATAAAGATGCGGAGCCTGCCGAGTGAAGCCGGTACAGCAGGAGGTTCTGTTTAGTCATCCGCTCATCCTTTTAAAGGTGGGAAGGTTGTAAAATGTCTTGGAACGTTTCCTTACCTTGAAGCACAGCAGTAAATTAAAACCCCTGGCTGGCCGTGTTTAAATAAACCAGATGAAGGAGATCTGAGAAGATGCGTTTTCACTTCCTCTGTGGCCACCCATACTAATAATCTTCCCCACTGCTGCACTGGAAACAGCCTCAAGTGGCACATTTCCTCAGAAAACCTTGTTTTTTCTCCCTCTGACGGCACAATTCCACATCATGAAACACTCGTATTGATTTTTGTGGAAATTCTAAAGGGAAATCTGATCAGAAGTGACAAAATCAGCAGAGCATAATAAAAAAATAAGCTATTGTGTTGCCATATTCAACAGGTTTGTATTGATTCTGTTGATTTTCATTTTTGTTTTGAGGATCAAAACACAGTCATGATCAGCTCATTCGTCTGAAAATTACATTCAGAATCCTGTTGTTTTAATAAATGTTGTATAAGATATTTTATCCTAAAATAACAAATAAAGATGGCAGAAAACGTGTGTAGGAGTCGGAACAGTGAGTATTTTGAGGAATGTATTAATCCTGTTGGAGTCTTTTATGTGGGGTGATTGTCACAACACCATAATGGCGCTTTTTAAGCATCAAATAAACAATAAAAACTAAACGTTTTAGAAGGCAAGACTAGGGATATCCCAAAATATTGAGACAGAATGTTTTCTCTCAGTAGAGCTGATATAAAGCCAGGCACATCTAAGGCTCGACGTCCAGCCTCAGACATGAGGGGTCTGTTGCTATGATGCTAATGTTCATCTGCAGTTTACATGTAGAGGGAGAGGATTACTAGAAAAAAGCAAATAAAACTGAAAGCACTCCAGAATGTTCTGGTGTGTTTAGCAGGTTGCTAGTGTGGTTTTGTTATTGGTGACATTTTAGCTTATAAATTAGTCAGAAAACATCCAGATGTCTGCTATGAAAATCGACCCAAGGAACTGGCAGCACATATTTCCCATCAGCTGTTAGGAATGGGACTCCCCACCGCTACCAGCAATACAATAGATCAATGATACGGCGAAACCCTCCGCTGATGCAATTTGATCCGATTCATCCCTGCAGACGGATTTTTAAATGATTTGACAACGATTTTCAACTTGACACAATTCATTACACATTACAAAGAATCTGGTTTTTAAACGGCACAATCATTATTCCTTCCCATTGTTCCCTGTGATGGATGTATTTGATCTTTGTTTTTGAGTAATCAATAACTTCAACATGATTAGAAAACACACTTCATCTTGACATATTTTTATTCTACTTTCTTCTGTTTAAGTAATTAGAAAAAAAGAACCCTCCATGTGAATTTCCACTAATCCAAACATTTTCAACATTCAACACTCGAAGTTCCGGTTCGCAGATCTAGTAAAATGCTCGGAAGAATGTGTTGCTGCAGATACCAGAGACCGTCACGGACTTCACGTGTGTGCAAACTGTTAACGGTTTCCAGTAAACAATTTTATTTTGATAAGTTATGAGAGGAAGCACATCTTTCAGTGTGTCCGACAATGTTTTATTTTAATTTTTTATTTTATTTTTTACTGCGGCTGCACACCACCTAGATTAAGCTAAAAATGCTGGTGGTACGTTCAATGCACCTCGTAAATGAGGACACGGCAGGTTAACTATGGAGTAATCCATGTAACCATGGTTTTTACTGATGCGACACATTGAATAATATACTGAGCCATCAGTTGTATCCTATGCACACTGAAAATATCGGTTCAGTCGCATCACCAATGTCATCAACGAACCACTGGTTCAGATCTGTGAATGTCTCCATCCCTACCCTATTCATCAGCATTGGTAACAGAAAAACCCATGTCGAGCTCTCTAGACAGTACGGGCACATTAACGGAGACTATGTTGCATTTCTGCAGTTGTGCATAACGGTTGTTTTGTAACACATGCACATAAGTAGAACTTACTTTAAATGGGATGCAGACCTGTGATTTATCGTAATGCCTTCCAATGAAAGCGTAAAATAAACTCGAGTCAACATTATGTACATGGAGGGAGCAGGACCTAAGACCTATTGACACTTTGCACCTATGTCAACTGATCATATGGTCCTACACTGGAACAATATTATTAGTATACAGTGATCCCTCGTTTATCGCGGTAGATGTGTTCCAGACCTGGCCGCGATAGGTGAAAATCCGCGAAGTAGGGACACCATATTTACAGTATTTATTTAACAGGTACGTATTCAGTATTCAGACTTTTAAAACCCTCCCTTTACATAGTACTGTATTTTACTTGTTTTTTTTATAGTTTTATTACAAAAAGTGCATTTTATGTTGAAATTGATGAAAAAACAGGAATTTCTTGATATTTCGCATAGAAAAATACCGCGAATCGGTCAATTTCCTTTGAATAAGGCTCCAAAGAAAAAATCTGCGAAGTCGTGAATCCGCGATAAACGAACCACGAAGTAGCGAGGGATCACTGTAGTATAGTGTTTCACTATAGACAGAAACGCACATCCACCAAATCTGAAAACCCTGTTGATTGACCACTTCTGTCCATTCCTGTCTTCTGTCTCCATCAAAGTCATTCGATAAAGACAAGTTGGGTTTACACCCTTGTCTGTTAGGCCGGAAATATACTTGTTCACATACTTGCTGCTGCACTGCATTTAATACTGGAGTGTTCTGCTCGGGGGTGCAGTAGAGGACTCTGAACGGGTGGAGTGCTGGGTTTGTAGGGTACAACCACAACAAACATGACATCAGTCGAAGAGAGCAGTAACGGGTTGATTTTGAGATCCCAACAGAAAAAAAGACAGCAGTTGTATTGCAAAGTGTATGAAAGATGTCTCAACCAGAGACGGTGAGACAATAATGAGTAGGTTTTGCTTGTTTTGTCAACTCGATCCTCAAATTAAAGTCCCATAGCCATCACACACTGGTGAAATTACACCTCTTAAAATCCACCTTTTCAATTTTGCCTTATTCTCCGAAGTGCATGTGTACACCGTATACATGTAAACACGCAAGAACAGGCGGGGATCGTGGGAATTGTAGTAGAATATAAGAGTAAACACATTGACATGGTAACACTTGGTTATCACAGCAGACTACAACATCTATTTGGCATCTCGCATCTCCCTTACACAAAACAAGTAGCTTACGTTTGTTCAATGAAGTTTGGGGGGAAAACGGAAATTAAAAAGATGTCACGAGTGCTATGTCTAAAAATAGCTTATGGCGCAGTTTTTTTTTTCTTCGCGAATGCAAAATATGCGTTACACGACATATGTCGCACTACAACCCTGTGAAATCTGCCTTGATCTATTGACTTCCTCCACTTGTCTCAGTGATGTCACCATTTTGTGTTTGGGTGTTTTTGTCACAGCAGAAGCTGGGCTTAGCGGATGTTTGTCATTGTCACCAGAGACCGAGAGAGAGAGAGGAACCCAAAGCACCTGGCTCTCACCTCTCTCTGAATTAGAGGAACACAGCATTTTATTACCCTGACGATTAATAATTAAAAGCCCTTCTTGTTAATTTTAGTTATGTATGCAGTATCTCACCCCTCCAGGCCGCGTTAACACATAATGTTCATTTCACGTGTTGTGCTGTTAGCTTCACCCAGCTGACTTTCCACAGAACATTGTGTAACTTTCTCTTTCCTGTCTCGGGTTTTTCTACTAAAGAGCACATAACACACCACCACTCAGATGAGCTCTTAATGTAAAAATTCTCTTCTGTTTGATATTGTGTCTGGATCCAGAACTGCTGTGTCTGTGAACACGTCACACTGCTGTCTCCCCCCAGTGTGTATTTAATTTGTGTGTGTTTTCCAGGACCAGCGCCTGAAGGAGATCAGCATGCAGACTCCCCCCTCCGCCTCTCCCAGCAGCCTGTCAATAGGCAGCGCCAACAACAACAACCACATCACGCAGACCCCGGAGCTTTTCAACTCTGCTCTGACTGCCAACAGGTGCAAACACACCATCAGACGTTTGCTTATAAACTCGGATATCCACCGTGTAAATGTGCAGCTACTTTGTCTGGAATCCTGGAGATCAGCACCTGGGGTGTCCGTTTCTGCAAAACCTGAAGGGACTTATTTTTTAGCTAAGGCTTTTCTGCCTATTCAGAACTCGTGTCATTGACTGATTTTTACCACGTTTATCTAGTAACGAGCCAAATTTCTGAACAGTCAGCTGGTTTTATCATCTAAGTCATTGGTTAGTGGTAGGATAAAAAATCAGGAGTTCTGAAATAAAATTTTCATCACAAAATTTAAAGGCGTTTTCAAATCATGCAGCAAAGCTACATGCTAACATGCTACATGGTGCCACGTTTAGGTTAAAAGCTACTGATGTATATATGTGGCCTTCAGAGTTATTTCATTGTAAAACCAAAGCACAAATGCTGCTGTAAGCTTCTTCTCATACCGAGTAGATTTTCAGCTGATGGCTTCCAAAATCCCCTACAACATAACAAGAATTTTATTAAAAGTCACAATTAGTCCATTTATGTCGTAAACCCGAGCACTAGCTGCCGTTTTAGCTGATTCTTCCCTAGAGGTTTTAAAGTTTAAACGTCTGACATCATGTTATGAGTCACCAGACTGTCAGGTGTCGCAGTGGGATGTGAAAACTCCCCCCACAGTTGCATTTCTGACTCCAGCTACAGCAGAGCTAAAATGAAACTGCTAGCTTTTATTAATCTGTTCTGCATTTTGGACTCCACGGTTGGTGACATGCTCTGAATTTACTGCTACTAACTGTTTTATAGCTCAGAGGAAGTTTTTACAGCCCTTCAGAGAAAAGGAATTAATCTTTATCAGTGACAAATGAATGGTTTTAGTGGTAGCTTTAGCTATTTATGTTCGATTGGTTAAATATTTATGTCCCTGTCTTCATCCCACTTTTCCTTCTCCCATCTTTTCTCGACTCAGTGTTCCCAACCTGAACAGTGACCTGTTTGATCTCCAGCCGGCCTTCATCCCCGCTGTGCAGAGCACTCCTTCCATCTCCAATGTCAACAGTGCCTGGGGAGGTGTGTCACACACACACACACACACACACACACACTGATTTACACATTCATGAAAGCACCAGCAGGGGGGCGTCATATGGCTTAATGCAACACATACAGATGTGTACACATCAATTTAATGGTGAGGGAATCTTCTCCAAATATCCATCTGTACATTCCACCCATCCATCATCAATCCCACCCAGGTGCTTATTCATCCATCCATTCATCCATCCAACCAATCAACCATCATTCATATATCCACCATCCATCCATGCATCCATCCATGCATCCAAGTTTTCTTCTATCAACTATTCATGCATTCATCCATCTGTCCATCCAACCATCAATCATCCATCCATCAGCCATTCCACCCATGTGCTTATTCATCCATCCATTCATCCATGCATCCATCCATGCATCCAAGTTTTCTTCTATCAACTATTCATGCATTCATCCATCTGTCCATCCAACCATCAATCATCCATCCATCAGCCATTCCACCCAGGTGCTTATTCATCCATCCATTCATCCATCCAACCAATCAACCATCATTCATATATCCACCATCCATCCATGCATCCATCCATGCATCCAAGTTTTCTTCTATCAACTATTCATGCATTCATCCATCTGTCCATCCAACCATCAATCATCCATCCATCAGCCATTCCACCCATGTGCTTATTCATCCATCCATTCATCCATGCATCCATCCATGCATCCAAGTTTTCTTCTATCAGCTATTCATGCATTCATCCATCTGTCCATCCAACCATCAATCATCCATCCATCAGCCATTCCACCCATGTGCTTATTCATACATCCAACCATCCAACATCCATCCACCATTTATTCCACCCATGTGCTTATTCATCTATCCACCATCCATCCATGCATCCAAGTTTTCTTCTATCAACTATTCATGTATTCATCCATCTGTCCATCCAACCATCAATCATTCATCCATCAGCCATTCCACCAATGTGGTTATTCATCCATCCATCCATCTGTCCATCCATCCATCCATCCATCCATCCATCCATCCATCATCCATCCACCATTCATTCCACCCATGTGCTTATCCAACCATCATTCATACGTCCAAGTTTTTTTCTTATCATCCATTCATGGATTCATCCTTTCGTCCCTCACGCTTCCACAGACTGACACATTAGCCCTGCTCTACCGAATGCCCCGTGTGAAGAAGGCTGACATTTGGGCTCACTATCGGCCGTCTTAAATCAAAGTAACACACATGGATGAATCCACTAGTCGTGTGGAGTATTAACGGCTTAATGTCGCAGGATTAAGTGGAAGGACACTTACAAGGAGATTGGCTGAATTTTAAAGCCGGAGCTACTTCTGGGTGCTGTGGGTGTTGTTATCATTGACTAAGATTACAATCTGTTCTTTAAAACAAAATAAATTACACAAGATACTTGCTTCAGTTAATGCTCAGAGCTGGAACACAAACATGCAGGAAGAGCCAGACTTTTAGGAAAGTAGAAAACACATTATGTCATCCAGCAGGAAGGTTTAAATGAGGCTGCAGCCATCGTCCTGTTGGACGGTTTTAGACATGCTTGGGAGCTGGGTGAGGGAGGAAGTGGTTTATAGTAAGTGTGTTATTCATTTGCTAAGTGGTGTGTTATGTTCAGAAAACCGCTCCTGGAGGCTTCAAACCTTAGTTTCAAACAAGGACAAAAACAAAAAGAAAGACAAACGATGCATCCGCACATTTTCTGGAGCACAGGATTACCTCTCCTCTGAAAGCCCGGCGTTCCCACCAGCCCTGCGCAGAATTCCAGTTTACTAAACAACTATGGAAGCGCACTGAAGACTGTAATGTCCGTGTTCCTCATCTAATGGGATTAGGATAGGAAGTTGGTGGAGTCCTCACTTAAAGCAAAGCGAGTTTGGGGGGTGGGGTTATGCATCTTACGCAGAGTCCTTTGGGATAAAGCTGCTTCAGCTGCTGCCTCATGCAGCTTAAACAGCAGAAAGAAGGCCTTAATCAGTCATATCTAACTGCATTCCTCAGGACTGGAGAGCCAGCCGCTGCAGCAGAGCGCCCCAGCCCTGACTGTAGATTTTGATGCTGTGTTTGGGAACAAAACCGCGTCCAGTAACAACGGCCCGCAGCCTGCAGCCGGTAAAGCCCCCCTCCCGTCTCTCCATCTGTCTGACTGTCCAGACAGAGCCTGGCTGGTGGCAGCACTGCACTAACCCTCTGATCAGTTTCACCTTCCTGCTCTGTGGGCCTTCCTAACTCGGTCACAAAGCCCGTTTCTGTAACCACGGCACAGGCGACGGCTAACGCCGCTCGTGAGTTTCCCAAGATCCTGAAGATTGGTTTTCAAGCCTTTGGATTCACATCGTTTGAGCTGACGAGCTCTGAATCGTTGATGTGGAGCGAGACTTTTCAGGATCTTTTATGTGGGTCTGAGCAGATCCTAGACCTGCTTTATCTTTATGTGGCATCTTCATTTCTTTTGTAGAAACAAATTGATTTTCTTCCTCATTTCAAAGCTTTTTTTTTTTTTTTTTTTGCATTTTAATGTATATTTAGGGTCTATTGAATGTGTTCTGTACCAACATGGACCAGAGCAATGCCTTCATTAATGCAAGTGAACAACGTTGGGCAAGTTATTTTAAATGCGTCTCAGAATTCAAGCTACTTTTAAAATGTAGTTGAATTCAGGCAGCTTGAGGTGTCTAACGTAGCATAGCAACAAGTCTGTGCCAGCTCTGACCTGTTCTATGTGAATTAGTAATGTTGTAACGGCCACAGAGAAACGGTTTATTCTGAGAAAAGCCGGTTTAACACATCAGAAGCTTAGGCACCTTACATCTGCATGTCCCAGCCCACTTGATCAACCATACAATGTGTGACTGCAATGCTTACGGCTGAACCATGCTAGCCCAGTATACCTCTAACGCTATGCCAAGGTACGGCTAGTTGAATGAGAGGACACTTTTATTGAATGCCCCATAGATCTTCAGCATGCGGTCCAGTCCAACAGAGTACGACTGTGACACACACACGCACACTCCCTCACACTACCACCACCCAGTGCCACGCCACACACAGGCACATACAGCCACCCGATTATGTACACGCAACCCACCCCCGCCTTTGTTTTTCCATGCAGCACACAGCTATTAAATTCTCATGTCTTTCCATTGTAGGGCTTTGTTATGGGGTTGTGTTGGGTTGCTATTCATCAGGGCTCCTGGGCCATTGTGAGCCCCGACAAAGTTTCATATACTGTGTAGAGGATCAAAGAACCAGTTCCAGTTGTACAAAAACATTGTTCTGTGTCATCTTTAGTAGGCACAGTTAAAGGAATGTGTTGATGATGAGGAGGAGGACTCCTTCTGACCCTGTGGGGTAGCCACTCTGGTGCCTCAGGGCTGCGGGTCTAGCGTTTATGGGTTTTTCCTGCATAAATGTCTAATATGAATCTGAGGGCTGGGCTGCTACGCTCTGAAGATGCAAATCAGAACAAAGAGACCGTTCAAAGTTGGTCTTAGGCCCAGTGCTGCTTCACTTTGGGGTTTTGTGCGTCTTTTAATGAGGTCTCCCTCCAGCTGCTGTTTGAGGTTCCCTCTTTATTTCCTGTTTTCATATCGTCCTCACGGCGACAGCACCCATCAGTCAGAGCCGCTGGAGAAGTGCCAGGATTAATGGACCAGCTGTTTCCAGGGCACATGTAGCTCACGCCGGTCAGGGTGAATGAAACTCGGAGGCTGATGGTGACACGGCCGATACGAAAGCCCAGCTACTGTTTTCTGTAGCGTGTGTACCGATGGGTTTCCGTGTCTGCTGTGTTTGTCAGGAGTGGCTTCACATGTCTCCTGTCATTCTCCTCCATCCCATCTGTCTGCTGCTGCTCGTCTGTGTTGTTTTGTTGTTGTTCTCGCCTTTCCCACCTCCTCCTCTCACTGCCTCCTTTTGTTTCATCTCTGGTTTTTCTGTTTGCTTCAGCGTCTCATCACACTCCATGAGACAAGAATCACCCAGGCAACTCCTTTCCATCTGCTCCCCTCCTCCTCCTCTTTCTCACATTTACAATAAACACTCGTCTTTCTTTTCAACGACGTGGCCGATCTTTAACTAGGTTTTAGTCGCTTTTAATTCACGATGCTGAAGTGAAACTGGGTTTAAATGAGTCAGATGCTCCTAAAGCTCCCACTAACTTCTCAGTCTTTCATTTATCTGAGTTAAAATCATCTTTCCTGTCATCATTCCCCAGCACTCTGGCTCATAAATGACCAAATGCAGCTTTATGTTTAATGAAAATGAGTTTTTCTCAATATTTTTGTTTTACTTAGAAAATATTATGAATTCTGTTTAAAATAATTATTACCACGGTGACCCTAATGAGCCACTGATGGCAGCTTTAACACTTCCTGTTCTCTCTACACTCCTGCTTGTTTAGGTTTAGATCTTATTCATTTTAGTTAGTTTTTCTGCCTCCTTTTTTCCCCGTCTCATCCTAATAATTTCATGTTTATCATCTCACCATCTGCTCCCTTATAAAATTTGAAATCAAAACGCACTAATGCTGATAGAAGTCACCAGAGAATACCATTTGGAGCTTTGTGAACAACCTGATTTCACACTTGGCTCATTTTTTTAATAAACTGGTGACTGTGTAACTCCGAGCTCAACTCAGAAAATATAATTTGTTGCACAAAACAAGTAAAATCCCATCACGTTTGTGTAGAAAGCTGTGGAGGAGCATGGTTTAAGTATTCCCCAAAGCACTTAAAGCAGGGGTGCCTCCAGAAACTTCTCAAACGGGGCACTGATACTAGAGGGGTACCAAAGTCAGCATAACATATTTTCTAGGGATTAAAAGGATTTTATATGTCTCTACTGGGCCTGTTATGGGCTGAGCTTTGCATTCAGGCTGTGGCAGAATTTTAAAGCCAGATGATTACATCAGAGTTATTATTTTAACGTGTGAATCAACTGACCTAGGACATCAAAGTGCATGTATAAAACAGAAGCCTGTTTTAGTATACAAAAAGTAAATTTACAGACAAAGTTAACTGAGAAACCATGTTTTTATTTGGTATTTTTGAAATAGGATCACTCTGAGTTTATCACACAGGCTGAACGTGAAAATGGTCTTCTACCCTATCTCCTGCATTAGCTGCCAGTAAAAAGTACGTCGGTGAAATGCTCAGATTAGGAAATCCTGACAGATCTACGTCACACTGTCACTTCACATTCATGGACTCATCCATCTTGAATCACGACGAGGATGGCTGTTTTTGATTTGGCACCCAGGAATCAGCAGAGCATCTTAGCTAGTGGAAGCTAACTGTTAGCATTAGCAACCACACAGCAGAACTCCTGCAGGTTTGTGTTGTGTGTGGAGATAAAACATCAAACGGAGTCGGTGATGGAATCACATTGCTGTTAATCAATCAGAGGAGAGATGTCTGCACATCAGGAAATAAGACTCCAAATCCAGCTGTTTTCTGCTCACCTCTCATCTGGCCATTTCTGGTTCCTGAAACAGGAGCGCCAAAGCCTTTTTCCTCACAGAAATCAACTCGCATCATTCATTTATATTAGAGACCACTGCAAAGTCTCTTAGCTCAGGCACATTAATACGATTGGATTCAAAGAGGTGCTTCTAAGCCAGTTTTAATGGTCCTATAAACAGATAAATATTTTTCTTCTTTTGTAGGGAAAAAATTCCCATGATTTTTACAAAATTTCACTAAATGCAGCAAATCACAAAACAGCAAAAGCCTGGCTAGAATGATGGGGTGAGAAAATTGGTGTTTCCAGACATGGAGACAGAAAAGAAAGTAAACATGTTAAATTGTCTGACAATGAAAAAAAAACTAATTTTATTTTTCAAAATAGAAAAAGAAAGATGTTTAAATACAAGAAACACTGAAAATACATTTCTGAAAACTGATATAAATTAGTAACACACCGATGAAAATTTTGGTAAAACTGATGTTTTTCTATCTTTAAACGGGCATTATGGAAGTTTGACAGCCAAAACATGTATAGAAATAATAAATTTCTTCCTCATACATTCTCCTGCAATGCCCTGGTCCTGTAGAATGAGCCCTGGCATTTTTACTGTGATTGCCTGTTTTTCTGTAAAATCACAGAAAAAGAGAGCTGCTCCGGTCGAGCAAGCTGTTTCATACACGTTCACGCTCAGGCATCGCCCGTAGCATTTGCTATCAGTAGCTTTAGCAGCAGAGAGTGAGGTAGTGCCAACTCAGCGACTTTGTCGCTGTTCCTAACGCCTAGTGATGAACCTAGCTACATTTCTGAGGACCCTTAGCTACTTTCTTCTAGACAGGGTATCCGCGGGTCCTTAAAAAGTCTTAAATTTGCTTTTCCAAATTTAAGGCCTTAAAAATCCTTAAAAATGACAAATAATCCTGAAATACAGTTTCCAAAGGTCTTAAATTACCAAAGACCCAATAAACAAGATAATTTTATTTCTATAAAATTTTCGTGAATTTCTAGTTAGTTCAGGATTTTTTGTGTATGATGTTGGCGTAAGCGGAACCGTACACATTCGGTTGGTTGTGAAAGGAGGCTATTTTTAGAGGAGCAGGCTAGTGGGAGCTTGCCCCATGGGGAAGTGCAACATTAATGGTAACTGGATGGTTAATCCCACGTTCACGACGTGGTTAGCACCGGTTCCAGGCAATAGCTGGAAATTATAGTTTAAATTCAATTTAAAAAATAGCTTAAATTTGGTCAAAGTGGCCTTAAAAAGGTCTTAAAAGTCTTAAATTTGGCTCCCTTAAACCTGCAGATACCCTGCTAGATATTTCCTGCAAATTAGTAACAAAATAGCCATTTTCGCTCCAAACCGTTCTTTGAACGTTGTTTCAGCTGTCATCAAGGATATAAATGTTACAGATGCAGAAGACACCACTGGTGCTTTAGCTCGCCTAGTAAGATGTCGAACTCTCGTGTGGAAGACCTGGATTCGATTCTGGGTGTGAACATAGTTTATTTAGAGTTTATTTTTTACATTAATGGTATATTTTTTTACAGTAAGATGCCCAAATTTTTATTTGAGACTCGCCGAACAGCATTGAATTCACAGATAAAAAACATGTGGGTTCAACTTTCATTTTGGAACAGTTTTTCAAGCAAGGGAAGGGAATGATCTGAGCATGCAGGAGGACTGACCCATCTTAAACCTTTGTCGGCTGTGCTGAAGAGAAAGGTACAGAACTAAATTATTTAATTAATTAGCTGCGTGTTCTCCTGTCCTCCGGGCCACACACACACACACCTACACACACACACACACACACACACACACGGGACTGTCTCAGCTGTTATTTTTGTTAAGGAGTGTGCACATACAGCATACGCGCCTCGTGCACGAGCCTACTATTGAAGCTCCCGTTACGCTTTTGGCCTGAGGTACTCCGTAAAGTCCCTTTAAGGGGGCTCCAAAGCATCACTTTATTTTCTTAAAATATTATACGCTTGTTCAGTATCAGTCCTAGTTTAATGGTGCCAATCTCAAGGTAGAGCAAAACAGCTGCTTAAAAATAGCTCAACTGATACCAGAAACACCAAAAACTGAGTTAAGAAAAAAAACATGTCCCTAAAAGTTCTGTCTGAGGAAGAGAGATGCAAGAGCAGCAGGTAATATCAGATATCAAGGTTTCTGATGCTTTACACAAAGGTTCTGTACTGATGTTTCTCCTGCCCTCCAGCTCTGCTTTTCATTCACACTAGCCATATCTCTGTTGCATCTGCATGAATGTGAAACAGCCCTGTGTTTGTGTCATAGCCCAGACTGGAGAGCATTCCATTTCAGTAGAGAGGTGGTGGTGATGCTGCCTTGTTCTGCTCAGGTCTGTGGCTAATAAGCGATTTTCAGATAATCTATTGAAAGGGATTTGCTTCCATCCTTTGAGCTTAAACTTTTTTGATGGTCAAATCCAAAGCCGGAGTACCAAGGCTGATATCATTATCCTCTCGGTTCAATACAACTCGCTGAGCTTCATCACATCCTCCTCCTCCCACCTGACTCTTTCTTCTCCTCGCCTCCCTGCAATGTGTGTGTGAGATATATTGAAAGAACCTCTTCCTCTCATTCTCCCTCTTCTGTTGCTCTCATCAGTTCAGTTTAATTCACAAAGCCTCGCTGACACACTGCTTTAGGAAGCAACAAAGGAGAACGAAATCACCCACGTAGCCGGAGTGTTGGATCACATCAACAACAATAGGACAAGAATTAGTCGAGAGAATCTCAAAGATTGTGAGCAGAAAGTGGATTTTTCCACCTTTCATGCCCCACTTCCTCTTTTTTCCTTAGATATTTTAAAATTTTCTCCCTCCCTGTTTTTTCTGATTCATTTATGTCCGTATGTTTCCCCTCCTCTCATCTGCTACGCTAGCAGGAAAACTATTTTTCAGAATCTCTGGTGTCAGCACCGCTGTCAGACCTACGCACCGTTTCCTAACTAAATATTATTCCTCCTCCTTTCTCCACCAGCAGCTGCCCGTCTGCACTCTCTTCCCCTCCGTCCCCTCCTCTGTGTTACGGAGAACTGTCCATTTTCAGGAGTGAAGATTTATTTCCCTTCAGCTTTGTTCAGCAGATTTTTTTTTACTCCTGTTTGAATTCCCACTCATGCATGAAATCCCATTAAAAACAAACTGTCACAATGCTTTTATTTTCTATTTAAATCAGTTTTGTGCCACCTCTCTGCTTGCCGTCCCAACCAAACCAACAGTATAGCACAGCGATTGTATTCCGTTCTATCTACATCAAAGGTAGTTAGAAATGTGGGTGTCTTGATCGATGACCAGCTGACCTTTAAAGATCATGCCGCCTCTGTCGCTCGTTCGTGCCGTTATGCATTGTTTTACACAAAGATCAGGCCATGCCAAACACACCACCCAGCTCCTGGTGCAGTCTATAGGCATCAAACGCCTTGCTGTGGTCTTCAAATTGGTCTTCCAGTCTGTTCTTGGAAACCTCTAGAAATGGTGCGTCAGATCTTTCATCAACCTAAAGGAGCACACGTCCTCCTCACACAGCTCTATTGGCTACCTTTACCTGGGCTTTTCCACGACCCCAGCAGCCCGTCCCTTCCTTACGGCTGCGGGTGTGTTCCACACAGCCAGTACCGCAAGATCACACAATGAAAGGACAATTGCAAGACCACTCGTGATTTTGCCTCTTCACATGATAAGCAAGGAGAAAGGCAGCATCATGTTGCCAAAAGGTCTGCGGTTTATATTCTCTTACTTTGACCTCGGCCACAGAGATGTCACAGGTAATGACGTTATTTTAGTTATGCTGGTCCTGTGTTTGATTTCCTGATTGGTATGATCTGATTTGCTGTGCTTGACGTGTTCTGGAAGAGTGGCATGTAAAAATGTAACCAAAGCACCATGACCTTACACCTCTGGGATGTGTTCAAGATGCGTACAGTCGCTGTTAGATGATGACATGGCTTGGTCTCCCTGGTCATCTGGTTGTATGTTAGCAGTGCCTACACCAATAAAGGCAACCCAGACGATTGTGAAATGACCCAATTAACACTAACACACTGTCATAGATTTACTATTGAACCATCTGCTGTGGTTTTTAGAGGCTCAACCAATCACAGATCTCATTGCATCTTTCTGTCTTTGTAGTAAGAGGGCAGGGGCACTTCTCATTGGAAAATAAAAGAGGCTGCTGTAGACGACGACCTGATGCTACAAACAGATACAGACGTGTGTGTGCGTGAGTGGGTGAGTGAGTGAGTGAGTGGGTGGGTGGTCAATGTTAAAGTCCCATTAGTCATCACACACTGGTGAGATTCATCTCCACATTTGACCCATCCCCGTGGTGAGCAGTAGCTGTGGCCGTGCTCAGGAACTATTTTGTGGTCCAACCCCCAAAGCTGAGTGTCAAGCAGGGAGGCATTGGGTCCCATTTTTAAAGTCTTTGGTATGCCCCGGGATTTGTACCCCGATCTCCCAGTCCCAGGGTGGACACTCTACCACTAGGCCACTGAGAAAGTAATGTATAAATAAAAATAAATTCCCTTCTGACCCTCCGCGGGTGGTCTCGCCCATCCAAGCTCAGGTCCTCCACCAGAGGCCTGGGAGCTTGAGGGCTCTGTGCAGTACCTTAGCTGTTCCTAGAACTGCGCTTTTCTGGACTGATGTTTTTCCTGAGATCTGCTTTAGCCACTCCTCCTCCATTCTGGGGATTAGTGCCCCGATGACCACGGCCATCACCGATGTCTTCACTCTCCAAGCTTTCTCAAGTTCTTCTTTGAGGCTCTGGTACTTCCATTTATAAATTATATCTGGTACTCATGTATGTATGTCTGTCAGTCAGTCTGTCTCATATATGCAGTCATATCTAGAAAGATAGAAATGTAATCGGAAACAAAATAACTGCCCCCTATTGGCTGGTTTCAGTTAAAGTTTTAAGCCTCGCCTCCTTCGAGTAAACCAGTGGTTATTTGTGAGACTGAGGAACAATAAACCCATCTTGGATCCTTTCATTGTTGTTGATTTTTGCTGTTTCTCCCGGTTCTCATCTTGCTGCTGTATGTTCAAATATTCATTTTGCTGATTCGTTTAACTGCTAGTTACACCTTCAGGTTTCCACCAGCAGCGTTGTAACAGCTCATTAGCTGAACGTGCGCCGACATGCAGAGCGCCAACTGTTTCCCTTTTCACACAAACACACACACAGGAAATTACGCTGTCATTTGCACCTACCAGCCACAGACAGAAAGCACCTTTTCATACATGTTAACAGCGACACACGAGTGCGCGTTCCAAACCGATCACTGCTTAGAGTCGCGGTGTGAACATGACAGCTGAGAACAGACAGATCGATCATGTGGACAAACCTCTACGAGCTACTGAGGCGGGGATTAGGAGGCTGCAGCACGATTGTGACAGAGCATGTCTGCTGGTGTAGGTAGAGGTTCACAACCGGTCAGACAGAATCTAATCAGCAGGACGTCAGGCAGTCCGATTGGGCCTTGTAATAAAGAGTAAAGCTTTATTCTCAGATTAATGAAGTCGAGGGAAGATTTAAAGCACTCCAAGCATGAGGTGACATATAAAAAAAGTTGGGAGTGTTAGACAAGTCTGTCTCCTTGATGGAAATTCTATTCTATCTCTTTGCTTTTGCTTTGCCTTTCTCTGAACCCTCCACGTGGTTCTCTGTACGATATAATCAGAAGCCTTTCTGATCGCAAATGCAGATTTCTCTCAGCTGATTTACATATGCAAGCTTTATTATTATATTTTTTTTGTCTCCTTCAGGGTTTGATGCTCTGGGGGACCTACTAAAGCCGACGATTTCAGCACACACCGGTCCACCACCTCCTGGTCCCGCTCACATGGCCATCCATCCTGGAGGAAAGTTGCTAGCCAACGACCTAGACTCCTCTCTGGCCAATCTCGTGGGCAGTGAGTGTCTTCTCTCTCTCTCTCTCTCTCTCTCTCTCTCTCTCTCTCTCTCTCTCTCTCTGTCACACACACACACACACACACTTGTACGGACAGAGAAAACCAGTTGGAAGATCTCTGCAGCAGATGGAGCACTTATGCAACACCTTCACCACCAACATAAACAATTATTCCAACACAATATGGTTTCCTGTATCTAATTTTCTCATTAAATGACATCATTTTCTCTTCTGTTTTAATCTTCAACATGGAGTCCAGTTCATGACTTAAATACCATAGGCTTCCAACTCTCCTTTCATCGGGAATTTTAATTAAAGCCACCCAAATGTTGCAAAGTAGATCAGAGGAAGAAAAGAAGAAAGTGGACTTAAAACACCTTCATGCATGTCTTATCTGTGATCACTCACTTTTTCTGTTTCTTCTCCTCAGATCTGCAGTTTGGTGGAACCTCAGTCAAGAAGTAAGTTCAGAACTTGGTGGTGTTTCAACTCAGAATTTAAAGGTGTGGAACACAGAAAAACTATTTTTTAAAAACCTCATTTCTGATTATAATCATCAGTGGTAGTCATGTTGTAGTTATTCTGCCTGAAGCAAGATGTCCAAATATCAGGAGATAAGGCTCCAGAACTTGTCGTCTGAAGCTCAGCTGTGATGTGGCCCACTACCAGTTCCTAGAAACTGGCGCACCAGAGCTTTGTTTGCCAGATTACGACTTAGAAGGCATTCATTCCTACTTCAAATGTATTAGTAAACAAGTGTTCCACACCTTTAAGCTTTAACTAAATAGTAGCAAAAAACAGATTTCAGGTTCAGGAACGTTTATTTTGAGGCAGAAGTTATGCTTCTTTTTGTGGTGTGTGCTTTAGTAACGTGACTTCCTTTCAACCTCCACAGGCCAGAGATGCAGTGGAACCAGCCTGGCGAGAAGAAGCTCACTGGAGGCCAAAACTGGCAAAATAAGACCATGTCGACCACACAGTGGAGCCCTGCGCCCATGGCCCCACAGCCCATCCCTGTACAACATGTGGTAAGGAGGCTGCAGACACACGAACATGTGCTCTCAAACAGCCATCGAGGCGTCTGCAAGTCCTGAAGGCAAGGGTGTTTTTAATATTCACAGGAGCAACAAGCTGCGCGTCTTTTTAAAATAAGTTTCAAATGTTATGAGAGTTTAGCTCACAGTCACACGTTTGGGTCTTTTATTGTGAAGGTTTGGAAAGAAGTTGTTCCTCTGTTGTAACCAACATTGCAGGATAATAAGCACACATCAAATCTGTAATAACAAAATATCCCATGTTCTGTCAAGTATATGCAATTTGTTTGTGTGACTTTTAAGAAGAAAACATCAAGCTCAACCAAAAAGAACCAAAGGCTTTAAGCTAACCTACGTTAGCTGTAATAAGAAAAAAGAAAATATTTTTTATAGCGCGTCACAAGATAAAAATCACGAGGCACGTAATAATACAACCACACGTCAGACTTGGTGCTTCTCTGAGGCTTTAAAATACCTTAACTTACCGGAAATCCTCAAATATTAGTCTGTATTTAATTAACTGCCGGGTATCATATTTTGGCCGGTGTCGGAGTCGGCGGAGGTGAATAATGGCCGTTTTTTTAATTGTGGCCGGGTGGAATGTGGTAACAAGCAAGTACAGGGGCGGTTGTGTCATCCGTCTCACTTTTGATTTGCCAGTGATAGACCGCGAGGGTAACTTTAACCGTGCGGAGGCGAAAATTTGATATCAAGTTCAAAGAGAACGTGCTGATTATGCTGCAGAACACACTGGGGAGCAGTAGCAGGGGTTGTATGAACTAGTCACTAGTCGACTTCACCGCTCTATAGTGACTTGTTATGCCTGTCATCGACTAGTCGCTGTCACGTGATAATGACCGGCAAGATGCAGTCCACAGAAAAGACAGCAGCCTGCTGTCAGCAGGTGACAAGCTCCTGCGCGTCGGGAGGCAACGCGCTGTGCCAGAGCGTCGGTACTGACACCCGCCGTAAAACGGACATTTAACCAAATTGTGACGTTCACCCTCTTGCAATTTAACCTTCCCCTCACCCCCATCCTAACCTTAACCAGCTTGCACATGCAAAGCTCTGATTGTTGACGTGCTCCAGACATCTGCGTCCTGAGCACGGCCACAGTAACGTTATCAAATCAGGTGTCGCCACTTCAAAAACTAATTTAACACGCAATCGTTCATGTCGGCTCATTTCTTTTATGTTTTCTGTCTTTTATTCTTTTATTTGTGCCTGATGCGTTTAGCTGCTGTGGATCGGGGCGCATCACCTGTTTTGTCCTCGGTGACGCACCTCACTGATGTGGCCGGCGAGCACTCCGCTGTTTTTGCGGTCGGTAGATCTTTTAGAGCTGCAGTTCAAAGGTAACTCATAAGGTGAATATATATGAACCCAGATAGCAGTTTTTCTTTAGGATTGAGAGGAGATGCAGGAAGATAATAAACAGGCAGGACAGAAAAATAGTCAAATAAAAACAAGTTAGTTTTTGTACCTGCTGGTTGCAACAAACAGACACCATTGAAGGTAATCAGAAGTGAGGAACAGAAAATGAAATAATTATTTTAATGTTTAGAGCAGCAGGAACTCCGAGAGGCTGCAGGCACATCAGTGAGTTTGCGGCCGCTGCGCAGGGGGAGGGGGGGGAGGGCTGAAGCAGAAACTATTGTTGTTAAAAGAAATGTGTTTAACTTAGAAAATGTGGGCGCAATTTTAATTGTCAAAAACTCCGGCGAACCATTAATTCATTTTGCTCAAATAGAAATAGAGGCCTGCCTCTAATTCTGGTCCTCCTACCATTAAAGGCCTGGAGCTTGATGAGCTTGAGTCAAATACAGGCCCGGGCCTGTATTAGAGGATTTTCGGTAGTTTTTTTTTCTGTTTTACTCTGCGATACCATTGTTCAGTTGGCCAGTCAAAACCTTGCTTGTACTTTCAAATAGTGTGGTCATCATCATGTTCACTGTAGTGTAAACCTAGGACTCTAACTTGGAAAATGCAAGAAAAAAAATTGTTTTTCAGCGGATAAGTATAGCTCATGCTTAAATAAGCTACAAATATAGAGTAAGACATAGCATAGCATTAGATAACATAGCATAAGACAACATAGCATAGCATTAGATAGCATAGCATAAGACAACATAGCATAGCATAAGATAACATAGCATTAGATAACAGAGCATTAGATAACAGAGCATAGGTTAGCATAAAATAATATAGCATGGCATAAGATAATGTCATTACCTGGTATTACAGTAATTTATTGTTTCAAAATAAAAGTAGTGCCTTATTTTTGAGTTGACTTAAATATTCTTGATGTAGTTTGGCGTTTATTTTAGATTTAGTTGACATTGTGATGATGAATTCCTCTCTGGTATATGTTTTTTTTTAATTCCCACATCACCACGTAACATCAGCTACAAAACAAGATAATGAAATGTGTTGCTTAATTCTGTCCAGCTGCAAAAGCATCTATCCAGCAGCTGCTTAAAGTTCTACAGATGAACAAGATCCTCCTGGATTTTCTGTAGTTTGTTGAATCTGTGCTGAACAAGTTGTAGAAACAGTCATTTTAGTGTTTATGTGGCATTACGGGACTTTTTCTGGGCTTCCAGCCACCTGCTGGTTATCTCAGAAAGCAGGCTTGAGAAGCAGCTGACTGGTTCAGTCCAAAGGAGACACAAACCTGACTGCAGCAGTCTAGAGTGGGATGAATCTTCTTCCTCACCGCTTAGATAACGATGCTCATCTCAGAGGCAGGGTTATGTGAGTCTTGCAGACACCTCGCTGAGACCCGACTGCACACCTGAATGTTGTTGTTGTTTGTTGTGAGCATGTGTTTGTGTTGTGCACGCTTAGCCTCGGTGTTTGCACGACTGGTGTTGATTGTCCTCCTGATCTCTGCAGTTTGTGGCTGACGTAGACAATCTGTCACTAACCCCACACTTCCTCTCTCTCTCTCTCTCTCTCTCTCTCCTCCTGATGGTCTTTCCTTTACTTCCTTTGTCCTCTTCACCCCTCTTTCCTTCTGTCATTCCATCCCATCTCTCCTTCCTGCTCTTTTGCACACACATCCCCTCATCTTCCTTCCCTCCTTGGCTCTGGTTTTGCATCGTCATCTGCTCGTCCTGTTATTTTTTTCCCACACTGCCTCTGACATGACTGGAGTTTTGTTTTTCTTAACTTTTCTTCTCTGTGGCTGATTTTCTGTTGTATTGTTCTTAACTTTTGTTCCAATCTGCTTCACTCATCCTCCTTTTGTCACAATGCTTCTTTTCACCCGTTTCTACATCATCACTCCTTTTTATCTCCCTTTTTCGTATACTCTCCTTCTGTCTCGTTATCTCTCTTCTCTCTCTCTGGTTTTGTCCCTTTTCCCTGTTGCGTCCTGATGCAGAATGGAATGTTCTATACTAGTTATGTAAGTACTCATCTCTGTTTGGTTGAACAAGTCTTAACGAGCTGCTCCTCTCTGCCTCTACTCTTCTTTCTCATCTTTCCTCCATCACCTCCTGGTTGTTTTCTTGTGTTTATCACACACAATCAAAGAACTTCCTCATATTTGAGCCAATAGTGTTTAGTATAAATGGGAACACTGATGAATTTAGCTAACACACACACACTCACACCCTCAACCTGTATCTTACTAGACTTTAGCATTTTTAAAGGATCTTTAGTGGCGTTTCGTTCCCATTTTGTTGTATTTTAGCAGGTTTTTCACTTATTTTCAGCTTAATACCTGAACATTTTTTTTGTTTTAAGTCACTAACAACGGTAACGCCCAAACTTGTAGAGTTGAACTCGCTCAGACTTAAAAATGAAACCTCCTATATTTTTGTACCAAATCTGATTTCTGATTTTCATATTTTTTTTTCCCTCGCTTCACTTTGTTTAACATTACAAATGACGGGCCATATTTTCAATAACTTGCTTTTACTTTCGTCATCTCTTCTGGGAGATGACCTGAATTCAAAGTCCATCCAAATACAAGCTGTAAAACAAGATGGCCGACGCTGCCAATGCAAACAACATAAATATAACACGCACTTTTTTTTGTAATCGTTTTTATTTATTTCTACCTGCCCAACAGAACTATAACTAAATTATCGTTTTATTAAAGAAATAATCTGTAGATTTTTGTAAATCACAGGTTTACTAAATGAAAAGCATCAAAATCCTGTAACTCGATTGTCTAAATGCTTTCTTGTGGCATGGTTAACCAAGAAAAACAATAAATAATTTAGATTTTACTTCACTGTTTAGATTTTTTAAAGAAATATTTTTAAATATTTACAGTTTTTCCTTAAATGTTTAAAAAAGTGTCTTTCTGCATCAGCATCCTGTGCAGGCAAGGGTCACAAATGGCTCCTGGGCTGTCCTCTGAACACCTCAGATTTATGAATCACTCGGGTTTAAAAAGAACTTCTAAACTCATTTAGCTGCTTTACCAGCAGCCTGTTACAAACACACAGTTTGTTCCCATTCGTTTAACTGAATCTATGAACAACCGATGAAACCGTATGAGAGGATTCCTGCTTTGATCCAAATTCAGTGGATACCTTATTTAGTCTAGAGTAGTCCTTTATTTTTTAAACATATATTATACAATTGCTATTATTATTGGGTGCAGAAACTGGACAGAGTGGAAAATATCATCTTCAGCAAACCTTCTAAAAGTCTAAAGAACTGTTGATCAAAACCAGTTTAAATAATTACAGGATAGTTTGGATCTTTGGAAGGGGAAAAAGGAGATGTTGGGTCAAATAAGTGACCAGATTCTCACGGCATCTTCATCCTTTTCACAGGACAGTTGCAGCTTAATGTAGACTAATCATATTACAGCTGTGTACACATGTGCTGAAACCATCCATAACGTCCATGAGCATTAGCGTAATGAAGAAGAAAAGTCACCGTAAGGCCATGGCCTCTCTAGGCTTTGTCCAACAAAACCATTTCACTCATTTACCACCACTTAGTCTTGGATGAATTTTTAAAAGGAGGAAAAGAAAAATAAAGTCTCATACCCCAAAGTTTAAAATCTGTGATAAAAGAAAAGAAGCAGCTTTAAAATAAAGATGAATGGACAAGTCAGGGAGACGTGGGGAGATAAATGAGGGTCAGAGCCCAGAAGGACAAATACCAACAGATAAACCTGTACGACGACACGGTGAGGGACGAGGGCTGAGTGGGTAGACGAATGGACACGAAGACTAGAGGAGACTCTGGCTTTCTGTTCATTCTGTTTAAAAAGTAAAAACTATAAGAAACAAAAAGTGGCGCCTCTTTTCTTTTTTTGAGCCAGACCAATAAAGCTTCAAGACAAATGGTTTGGAATTAACGGGTGATTAAACAGTAGGTGACAGTAAAGTCGATTTGTTCTATAAGCACGGTTTCAAATTCTAAAACCACTAAACCACCGGAGTGTTACTGAGCAGGCCGTAAATATATCTGATGAATTCAAGTCAGGAGCTGAATTGGGTTATTTTATGGCAGAGAGAGTTTGATCAATGGTGTTGAGCAACAACTTTGTCTCCAGAGGCCTCCGCTAAAAGCAGCCACTGATCGATCGGTGGCATTGATTACCTCCTGGGATCAGTTTAGCTTCACCTGACTTCCTCGGGAAACTTAGATCTTCTGCAAATTTTTCCTTGAAGTTATTTTAAAGCTGATGGAAGATAAGCTTGATATTGTCTATGATTAGTTTGGCCTGGCCATCAATCTGCCAGTAAAACTCTGTTTTCCATGACCCACACAGACTATTAGAATGTGGCAGGAGTCATAGCAAATTTACAAAACACGTCAGATTGAGCTTCGTCAGGAAGCCAGTGCAGGCTCAAATTCTCAATGACCAAACCACTCTGTGGCTAAGGACTCTGCATCGTGGATGCCCTCCCATCATACTTCTCTGTATTCCATGCTAGACGTTGAAGTGCAGCTACCATACATAATAGATAATAGACCACCAGGAGCTTGCTGTGATGGTTTTACATCTACAAACCCTATCATGAGGCTCCCATTGCTCCGTCACCATCCCGTTTGGCCTTGCCAAGATCTCACCAAAGGCCCCGCACATTCCCCGTTGAGGCCCGCCCCTGAGTCCACACCAGAGAGATTTCAACCGAAACCAAAAGTAAATTCTGGCGAGAGTAAAGTTATATTTGCGTTAATAGTTCGTTAACACCAAATGCCTTTAGTTTAATACACGATAAGCACACGGGTATCGGGCATCTCTCGTGATTTAGTTAGAAGAAATTTCCATCTGTTTCTCATATTGAAATCTCAAGTTTTGTTCAGCTTCTCTTTACCCGCGTGTCTCTGTGCGTGCGGTTGGTGCGCACGGCGGGTCTGACCATAATCACCCCAGATCTGCTGAGCAGAGTGTCGCTCAACCAGAGGCAGAGAGAAGGAATAAACCTCCAACCTTATTTATTATTGTCGACAAAGAAACGCAACAAAGAATCATTTTCACTAGTGAAGCAACACTTAACTTGTAAGATAAAATCCAAACATGCACCTACAGGAAAATAGGAAGAAATGTTAATTCTGTTTTTATCATTTTCACTTCACTTCAAATGATTTATAATTTTGTGTTTTCATCACATTCAACTTGTATTTTATTTAAATATCTTCATCTTCATTCATTTACTGAGGATTTTTATGTTTGGAGAATGAATCATAACACAGCATAAAAACTACTTTAAATGTTTATTTTTAACCTCCTAGAGCCCTGTGTCCACATAAGTGGACATTCAATTCAATTCAATTCAATTCAATTCAAAAATACTTTATTAATCCCAGAGGGAAATTGATTGCTGTAGTAGCTCAGAATAATAATAATAATAATCAATTGGCTCCTCGCACTCTAAAAATTAATTCTCTTCTACTTTATGTCATAATTTATATACACTTGATATTGACTTTAATTGTACTTTTATTTATAAATTTTTAGTTGCATTTCTTTTTTTAGGATATTTCAAAATAATTTTATAGAATTATTATTGTATTTTAATTTTAGTCATTTTGTTTCTGTTAATTACAGTTAACTAATCTGTAATAGCTAGACATGTTTCTTGTTTTAAATCACACTAAATTCAAGTCTGGGTCCCAGGAGGTTAAAGTACGTTTAGAACGTTAAATGTTCTTAAATAATTTTTAGAAGTAATTTTTCTGCTGAAGTTCATCTGATATGTGAGAATGTCTTTTTGACATTATATTAAATGAAATTATTTTCATTTATAATCAGTTGTACGTTCTGCTCTTGGGAAATCGTCAACATTTGAGGAAGTGTCTACTCTTGGTACAAGATAACGGCTCAGGGGGTCCATGGGTCAGAAAGTGTTGGGAACCACTGATGCATCACACCCAAAAACACCCAAACCTGTTTTTTCTTGCCCTATTTGAATCTTTATCATGGGAACAGTCACGCATGACTAATATTTATTTTAAGATTTTAAAAGGGGTTTAAGAAAACATTCTCTAAAGCAAGTTAGAAGACAACTTCCTGAAGTGGCACGAGGAGTTGTGTGTAAACCCAGCTTGACTCAGCACTTTATCAACTGTTTTCAAAACGCAATTCATTATATGTTACTGCACATTTAGTAAACAATTTCAAGCCAGTCATTGTGGCTTTTATGTTAGCAGAGGCTGTTTATGTTGACCCGGCAGCTTAAGTAACTCTGTTTAAAACACTGATTAATGTGCTCATGCATGAGCAGCAATTAAAGGATAATGCTGCTGCTGTTTCACGTTCACCCATACAAACCGAAACCCACCGCAGCATCGCCTTAATTAATGTAATCCATCACTTTCTGTAGGTCTGCTTGGGTATTATGTAACTTTACGAAGCAGCTTTTTATTTTATTCATTGGACTTATTTCGCTAGTTTTATTAGAATGTTGTTTTTTCGGAAGTTGGGACTAGTTTTATATCCGTAGCTCTGAAAGGTCGTGTTCGGATGCCTCAGTCTCCTTTAAAATCAGGTCTGTGAAGGCCAGGCTGACCTGCAGGAAGTCTGTGATTTGTCAGACAGGAAGTGCCTCCATTTGCACACAGACGTTTACCCTAACTACCATTCAGTCCCAAATAACCCCCTTCATCGCGCAGGAGCCAGCTTCGGGTTTGTGAGGGCCTCGGCTCACTCATGATGTTGAATCGGAAGCTCGTTCAGGTGTAGTAGATGTGATGTGTGCACAACCAAATGGGTTTATTGCACCACTTCTTTTTTAAAGTGGCGATAATGACTCCTCACAGCAGGAGTCTGCTCAGCAGCCCAGGCTCTCAACATGCTGCTGAATATACACTTACTTGAACATTAAGTACATTTTCCATGAGCAGCTCCAGCTGATATTTTATTTCTTTTGTGTGTTCTCTAAACGTTACATAATGGAGTATAAGTGGTGTGAAAAGGGGATGAAAAAGCTGAACTGGGTTCTGTTTTTGTTCTGAGGTGATGCGTTTGTCTTGCAGGCTCCAGCTCCAATGGCGTTCCCCATGACCACATCACAAGTGCCTGTGTATGGAATGGTCAGTATGTCCTCCCTCCGTTCACATCCTCCTCACCTCTATTTCTCTAATCCTGTTCGACATTAATGATAATGTTACAATAAGGTTGTATTCATCGTTTTGTTGGGTGTGTCGTCTCGTGTCAGGTCCCTCCCCAGATGGGTCAGATGGGTGGGGTACCCGTTATGGCTCCACAGCCAATGATCTACAACCAGCCGGTTCTAAGACCCACCAACCCCTTTGCACCCATGCCAGGAGCCCAGGTAGCATTCCTGCAGTAGTTTTTCTTTTTTACGTGTTGTAGACAGACACCTGTCTACCTTGTTGTGTGTGTTTGTGACACATTTTAATGACATTCATGAGCGTTCCTAAAACGTTCAGTTTCCACTTCAAAGGTCTCATTGTTGTTTTGTTGGAAGTTTGAAGAATTTGAAAAAGAAATGCTGATTTTGAAAAGGTAATTCAATCAATTGATTTATTTATCACTCTCCACAAACCTCAGCAGGAGAACCAAACAGGAACCATTTTCAGTTCCACGAGTCAAAGTACAAGCGATGCCACTTTGGCGAGAGTTGGCAACAAAATTTGAACTAAATTGAGACAAAATTAAAACAGCTTTGTGACCAAATTGCATTACGATTACAGTTATGGTCAAAAATGTTAATTACATAGATGGCTTTGACTTAAGACAAGATCTTCTTAAGTGTCACAAGTCACCAACCAATATGATTCAAGCAAAAGGTTTTAGGGACATCCGCTATCTTCAGCCTACAGTTATCGGTCAACATTGGCATGAAATCATAGCGAATATGACCATTTTTACAAACCATGCCCATTTTGCACATCAAACTCTTCAGCTACTGCCCTTCTCACCCAAACGTTTAAAGGGTTTAGCTTTAGAGATTTTTTTGTTTGGTACAACTAAAATTATTTAGTTTTTCTATTTTTATGAGGGGGATTCTGCATACATTGCTATTGGATAATATCGGAAAATAATAGTTTGACTTTATCAGATGTCGGTAAAGAAGCCAATATTAAATATTCTTAAAAATTTGTGCTTTTTCTTGCAATTTTGTGTTGCCTACAAATGCAAGTCAGTGAGACTCTGGCTTCACATATGTTTTAAATGAAAGACTAAATACAGGGTATCCGCGGGTCCTTAAAAAGTCGTAAAAAGTCTTGAATTTGCTTTTCCAAATTTAAGGCCTTAAAAATCCTTAAAAATGACAAATAATCCTTAAATACAGTTTCCAAAGGTCTTAAATTACCAAAGACCCAATAAGCAAGATTCTTTTATTTCTAAAAAAAATTCATGAATTTCTAGTTAGTGTTCAGCATTTTTTGTGTACGATGTTGGCGTAAGCGGAACCGTACACATTCAGTGAAAGGGGACTATTTTTAGAAGAGCACATTAGCTGGTTAAGCTAGTGGGAGCTTGCGCCATGGGAAAGTGCAAGTTTAATGGTAACTGGGTGGCTAATCCCACGTTCGCGACGTTCCAGGCAATAGCTGGAAATTATAGCTTAAATTTAATTAAAAAAAAAAAACTGCTTAAATTTGGTCAAAGTGGCCTTAAAAAGGTCTTAAAAAGTCTTAAATTTGGCTCCCTTAAACCTGCAGATACCCTGTAAATATTGTGTTTGAATTTCGCACCATAGACATAAGTCTGTTCTAGTGCAGCTCCACAAGCCTGTAAGCAAAACATTTATTTATGCAAATAAATAAGAATTTCTCCTGTTTTCATTACTTTCTGGTCTGTTCAGATGCAGTTCATGTAATCCAGTCAGGGGGAAGCTGAGTGCCAAAAGCAACAAACAAACAGCAGAAGAGGACGATCAGGTGGACGGACGGATGATTTGATCAAGTGAATCGACTCAAGAGACAGAAAAGATCACCGACAGGCACCTCAACAGAGGAAAGAGCAAGATGACATCACATGGGGTTGGAGGGATGGAGGAGGAGGAGGAGATATAGTCCTGAGTGGTCATTGTTTGAAACAACTGTGTGTGTGTGTGTGTGTGTGTGTGTGTGTGTGTGTGTGTGTGTGCGTGTGCGTGTGCGTGTGCGTGTGCGTGTGCGTGCGCGTGCGTGTGCGTGTGCGTGTGTGTGTGTGTGTGTGGTTTCATTTATGTTTAAAAACCTACCGATGGAGGATGTTTGATGGGAACGAGGGCGGAGATCTGAACGTGAGCCCCTGGAGAGTCTCTGCTGGAGAATTAGCTTTATTTCACACTGGTGCTATTTGTCCTCTCTGGGTTACTGTCCGCCTGCAACAGCAACTTAGGAGCACTTATGAGAGGACAAGAGTGTGTGCGCGCGCGTGTGTGTGTGTGTGTAGCAGTTGTTTCAAGCATTCCAGCCACCCTCCTCTCCAGCCTCCTTCACTGTTTGTTTTCACTCTTTTCTCAATAGTTTTCCTGTAGGTGTTATTATGTTTAGTATTTTCAGTCGTGTTTCTCACCAGCTGCTCGTTGAATGTTATCAGGGCTTCTAAAGCAATTGTGGTTTTGGATCTAAAGTTTTTGTTTTCTCCACCTAAAGCTGCGGAGTCGGGTGTGGTGAGAGGCGGGTTCTTTTCACACCAAAATGTGATCAGTTCTGGGGTGTCAGATCCAACTGGGCTTCATGGGTTGGGGGGGGGTCTTTAATTAAATGTAATTTAAAATAAAATCTATTTGATCTTTTTCATATTCGACCCTAAATCATTGAACAACTTGATGTCTGCAAGCAAATAACTCTTGTAATTTTACTTGATCTGCCTGCAACAAATGAGTTTGTGTCTCCTTAAGGCTGTACCAAACAGAAGGGAGTTCTTCTTCCTGGCTAGCTTTCAGCCAGTTAGCGGTGTTGCTAACGAGATGATGCAGTCTGTTGAGAAGCTGTGCTGAGGGTTATAAACATTCCCCACTTTCATGCAGACGTTTAAACCAGCTCGAGGAGATGAAATGAAAACGGGTTGGTTTGTGTGTTTGGACTCTAAAACCTTTATGATGAGAACTTTAACCTTGATGTCTTGGATAGTCCATGTGGACCTGCTCTGTTTTGTTTTCTTATTAAGATTTTCAAAATAAGAGCGTTTTCCTTATGCACGACCTCGTGGTAAATCAGTGTTTAAGTGATGGATGACAACAGCAGCACTTAGTGGACTTAATGCGACTAAATCAAGTTAAATTGCACTGATTGAAAGCTGGAAGCTGCATCCTAGACTCCACCTGTGCACCAGTGCCATGCCGGGGTCTGATGGTCGCTCCGTCCCCCTTCAGCTTCTACTGCTGCTCTGTTGGCGTGTAATGCTCTCTGTAATGGTTTTGTTGTTCGTTGAGGGCTATTTCTGGGATCATGTTTAAAGGCGAATGTTTGAATTCTTTTTTCTAAAACTAAAATGTTGTTGCAAAAATGTACATGCAAAAAAAAAGTTGCACTGAAGAGGCTACCTTGCAGTAGTGGAGCCGTCACCAGTTCCATTGGTGTCCAATCGTTAGAGATTAGACGTTTCTAGGAATAGTTTTGGGGTATCGGAGAATAAAGTTTGTTTTATTTTGGCGAGTAACTGAAAGTTGATTTCCTGCCACTCTAACAATGAACTTGAAGCTTTTTTGTAAATCCCGTCCCTGCTCCCCATTTGCCATTCCGGCCCACCTACCCACCGGTAAATAGTCCGGCTCATGGTCCGGTCTCCCGTGAAGTCTCTCTACAACGTCCCTTCAGTCCCTCTGGTCCCGTCGCTCTCTAGAAGCTTTTATTTAGTTGGCCCGCTTGGTCTGTAATTAGTCTGTGTAGATATGTAAAATGCTTACTGGTTCCTGTGTAGATCGTCACACCCGTCACTGTCCGTAGATCTTTAAAGGTTTCTTGTCACGGTCTTGTGTTAGCTTAGCCTCTCTTATCGAACCCCTGTGGAAGACGTCTCTCCCCGCTGTAGGTTGTCCCATCCAGTCCCTGCCGGTGTCTAGACGCGATAGCTCTTTACCCTCCCCCCGTCGGTGTCTCTGTCCTGTAGCTGTAGATCAAACATTTCAGAGGCTCTTTGGCTTGGTGGTGTCACTTCTCAATCTTTGCTGTAGAATTTGTTCCAAACGTTTGAAGATATTTTTCCTCCCTTCGTTCTAAACGACATTCGTATGTTTCCTCCTCAGAAACGGTCTCTGATTGGACCATTACGGTAAAGCACACGCTTGGATTTCCAGGTTTTTAGAAAAATCCAAGCTCAATTCTAGTTACGCTCTCAAAAACCTCCCACATTTCTTCTTCTGTCTTCTTCCCTGCATCAGAAATGAATGTAGACGATGGAGAAAAGCTGAACGTTAGCATCCAACAAGAATCGTGTGCGAGCTTAAAACCACTTTTATAAAAAATAAGTATGCAGAGGCTGAGTCAGCTGTTGCCTCATCACAATTTGTCTAACTAGTTTGTGTCTTTAGGGACAATCGGTCACTTTTGAGTAACTTTGCGTTAGAAAATTTCATAAAAAATATTGCATGGAGTTGCAAAAGACAAAATTAGTAAAATTTTCACTTTACTGAAGTGAATTTTAAACTTTTTCCCCAATATTTAGAGGTCAAACATATACTAGACTCTAAAGATGTATTCTGATCATCTCCAAAGGAAAACTGACCATCGTTGGGTCATGACAGATTTATAGGTCGACTAATGTGTAACCAAGTAAAAATGGGTGACTTCCTAGTTTGTTTACTAGTTGTTAAATAATTCTGCTAACGAGGTAACCCTGACTCTAGGACTATACGTTCTATTCCTCCCATTGTGCCCACCATCTTACTGTCTACAGTACTGTGGTGTAATTTGGTGCTTTCGGGGCACTGATCCAGGACCAGCCCTGGATGTTTATGACCAGGTCCAGCTGGAGCTGGGATGGTCGTTAATCGCCTCGTTAGACATTAGAAGTAATTGGTTTGGGGAAATGAAGCAGGTATTTGTGGTATTCAGGTCAAGAATGTTCCTTTTTATGGTCCAAACTTTTACATTCAGCTTTCTCTGCTGGTTGGTTTCATGTCGAGTGATTTCTCAGTCATCACATATCAAAGGGAGAGAGCTATTTAGTTTGGTTTTTGGGGGCCTGCTAATTGTTTCTGGCTCACGTCCTCGTCTCTTTAGCGCTGAAGCAACTGCTGGTAATTATTCCAGTTTCATCGTGGCGGTGATTTGTTTTTGGGCCAGGCGTGACGGCTCTATTAGTACACCTCCTCCTTTAATGCTCAGATACTTTCTCACATTAGCAGCTGGGAGTTTCCCAGAGCGGTCATCAATTTCTGGTGCTTTCCCAGTTAGTGTGGGATCAGTGCTGGGAGCTCTGGGTCAGGGTGGGTTCTGTAAGCTGGTCCCTGCTTTGTCGTGGCATGACCGTGGTTGATGGAGGAGAAACCTTGATGTCTGATGTTTGCCGTCCCCCGTGTGTCCGACGGTCTTGTCAGGACAGATCGATTCAGCTCAACCAGTGATTGGCCGTCCAGGTCAGCGGGTTCACCGGCTGTGTGGGCTGACATGATGCACGTTTTGTACTTACGATAAACGAGCCAGACGGCACAAAGGGTTGCCAAACTTTCTACGTTCTTGTTCTCTTGCAGCTCGCATCGGTGGGTCGCTGCCCCAGAGTCAGAACCTGAAATCAAAAGAACAAAGACTTGGATCTTCGTTTTGTCGGTCGGTGTATTGCGTCAGAGATCTCTTGTGCACGTTTTATTATTTTTCTTATGTGTTTTTTTTTCAGTAAGAACCCTTGATTGCTGCCTCACTTTTCAGTATATAGAGAAATACACACACACACACATACAGCTTAAAGACTAATGACAACTCTTACTGTGTTCATTTACTCCTGTTTTTGTTGTTCTTGTACATGGATGATGGTAGCACCATATCGGTATGTTTGTACGCTGCTGATCAGACACACCGTGTGGATTTCCAGGGCTGCAGACCTCCCCGTTACATCAGGATCAGCCGTGATTTCTCAGCGATGCCAAATGTTTTTTGGAGCATAGATCAACCTGCTAACCTCTCATTTTATTCTTCTGTCTCCTTCCCCCGTCTCTTTGTACATGTTTTCTATTTATTTAAAGCAGAAATATATGGAGTGTATCAAGCATGGAAAAGCAAACAAGTGTTACAGTTGATTTAGAAAAAATGGGCTTTTATTTTACAGCAGTATATTTGTTTATTCTAGGTGACTTGTTTCCTCTTTATCTTTTTCTCTTTTTTTTTGAAAGAAATAAAAAGTCTTTTTTTTCATTCCTACGTGTTCGTCTTTCCTTAACAGCTGCTGGAGAAGTCACAATTTTACCTCTTTCAGCTTTAGAAACTAGCCAGAGTCAACGTAACCCCTGTGATGCATGAATTATGAAATCTTCAACCATGATTTTAACTATTTTTTTCATTCATCTTTAGGTGTGAATGAAACAAATTTCAACAAATATTTTTTGTAACATTTAATAATTTATTACATGTCCACCTCAGTGGACAGCGTGTAGTCTGAACATGAAATATGGTGGCTTGACTTACTGAAGTCCAAATGGAGAAGCTCACATGCAATAAAGCCTTAGCAAAAATAAATAACAATTTTGAGTACCTGTAAACTGCAGTGACCATTATGCATCAAAGGGTTAAAGAAATATTTCAGCCATGTTGATGCATTTTCTGTGTAAAAATGATAAATTGTTACTAGCGGACTGATGAGCTAACTGCTAGTTTGAACACAGCAGAGATTAAAGAAATTTATTGCCATCTTAAAACTGCTCCAGTGTCTGTAATTGAATAGTTCCTGCAAGAGATGACGTTGGAAGTATTTTTTTTTAATTGCAGCAACTCACCACGGTCTTGGCTGTGCTCCGGCTAGCTGTTAGCTTATCAGTCCTGTAGTAAGTAAATGAGGTAAAAGTTGAAAGTACTTTTTTTAGACTTCTACTCAAACAGTTAATATTTGATGAAAAAATCTCCAAGAAACCAAAATGTCTTTTCCTTCATCAGCTCTAAGGACTTCAGTGTTTTTCAGCTCGGCTTCTTGTTTTTTTTTTTTTTCACAAGTTAAAACCATGAATTCGATTAATCCAATTAAACTGCTTCAACACCATTTTAAATAAGACATTTTTAAAGAACAAGTTACCCCCTACCAGATTATTACTCCCCTCCCACTTCCTGTTTGAAAAATGCAACAAATGCTGTTGCCTAGCAGACTGAGAGGGCGGAGCCGCTAAAAAAATACACACACTCACAAACGACATTGTGACATCATATGGTACCAGCTATGTTTATTTGGCAGACGCTTTTATCCAAAGCGGCGTACAATTTATAACCTATAGGGCATGTTGTGACCTGTGGGGGAAACCGGGGTACCCGGAGGAAGCTCACGCATGCATGGGGAGAACACGCAACTCCACGCAGAAAGGCCACAGCCGAGCCGAGTATTGAACCTGCAACCTTCGTGCTGCGAGGCAACAGTGCTAACCACTGCGCCACCATGCAGCCCAGCTAACCTTCTAGGGTACCTCTTAGCCAATAGCTATGGCAGATTTTAATTCAAATGCAGTGCATTTACCTGACAACGGCACAACACTGACAGTTTCAGGCGACATTTTTAATTTTAAGTGCAAAATTATTGACTACACATGTCTGCAGCACAATTAGACACTTATTTAGTTTATCAGCAAAAAAAGTTGATTTGGGGGTAACTTGCTCTTTAAATAAATGACTGATAATTAACTTTTAACCATGTAAACAGGATGAATCTGGGAATGCTCATTGTTCCATTTCTTCACTGTTTGTTTGGGACAATTCTCTATAGTTTCCTCCTGTTGACCCAGAAACACGTCGTTTTCTGTATTCCAACAACAATCACACGGCGAGGGATTTGAGCTCTGGTCCCACCTCCTGACTGATGAAACGGCTCCTGTACATTTGTTTTGAGCCACATAAAGGCGGTCTAACGAGTTGATGCACTTGGCTGAATTTCAGGGTTTTCTGTTGATGACAAAGTGGCGTTCAGGAGGAAGTGCATCGCTCAGGGTGAGGCAAACCTGACAAACGGCACTGGTTCTGCCCCTGTGAATAATGTCTGTGTGATTCCTCAGCCTCAGACCGGCACTTTGTCTCCATGTGTTCTGGATAAAATCCACTAAATCAGTCCCACCACAACCCCTGATGGATGGCGTTAGGAGCCCTGTTCATCTTATGTTGCTATTTTAGGAAAATCTACGTCCTGGTGTTAAAGACGGCATTGAACCCAAGAAAAAAAAACCTTTGCTTTGACCAATGAGCCCAAACTCCTTTGTTACAGTAAAATCTAAAAATTTTAAAATCTGTTTTTACCATCTTAGTCGAATTTCCAAACTCTGCCTATCCTGAGTAACTGTCACCTAGAACCTGTGGTCCACACCTTTATCACATCCCAGCTTGAATCCCTAACTCCTGCCTTTAGGGCATTAGCAAAGCTGCTCTGTCCGGACTCCAGCAGGTTCTGAATGAAGCAGGAGGGTTCTTGACCAGAGCTAATAGAAGTCACCACATTACACCGATTGTCAAGTGTCTCCGCTGGTTGCCAGTTCAGTTTAGGATAAAGTTTAAAATTCATCTTTTAGCTTTTAAGTCCTTAAACAGTCAAGCCCCTTCCTGTCTGAGTGTGTTGCTCCACTGCTGCCACCTGCAGATCAGCTTCTCCTCATTGTCCCTCAGGAAGGGCCTTCTCTGTATGTGCACCAAAACTCTGGAGCTCTGCCTCTCCAGGTTAGGCAACTACCTTCAGTCACCGCCTTCAAACCTCATCTCAAAACGCACCATTTGTCCTTGGCTTTTAACTCCTAAACCTGGTTTTAGTATTTAGCCTACAGGTGATTATTTAGCTTGTTTTAATTATGCAGCGCTTTGATCAGCTGTAACTGTCCTTAACAAGTAAACTGGTAAGGCGAACACCCCAGAATATGAAGCCTTATAATTCGGGATGCACAATATATCGGCCGATGTTGGTCATTTTTGAACATATTGGTATCGGTTCTATAAATAAAACCGAGCCGATATTAACAGCCGATATTTTTTCCCATCTCGTCTCCATTTGTTTGCCTGTTTTAGAGGGTGAGGGGGTTGATGTGTATTTGTTTAGTCACGTGACCGTGAAAGAAATCATCTCAGAACCGTAAACGTGTGTGTTGTGTGTACATAATAATGTAAATTCAGCTTTAATCATTTTCATTCTACACACAACCTGCTGATTTTAGAAGCGTTAGTGTCAGCATGTCAGTTATCGGCCATAACAGTGGTCTTAATATTGGATATCGGCCCAAAAATATCATATCGGTGCATCACTAGTTATAATTGTCGAAGCAAGTGTGCTTAGAAAGTAAGAACAAGCCGCTGTTGGACAAAAGCTGGTCAGCTGTTTTAACATTAGTTATTTTTTTTTACTTTTAAACTTCATTTCATATTTCAGCCATTGAGAGGTTTGTTATTTTCTGATTAGTTTCATTAACAAGTAACTAATGACTTCACTTCAAATGCCTAAACCCGGGGTTGGTGAAGAGGTTTTATTATGTAGATGTCGCATTTTAGTGTCATTCTGCTGGAAGGAAATGAAAACCCTGAAACACTGCTGCAGCTTTCACTTTGTCTACATTTAAAAATGTTTTTTTTTCTAATTCTTTGTAGCAGAAGTTTTTAGAGGCCATAGTGGAAGGTCCAAATGGCTGCATGAGGCTCCAGAAGCCGGGGTTCTCTGGGTTCCTACCGTTGTTCCTTTAGATGCCTCCGCCCAGCACGTGGACATTTGGACACAGATGTCTCAGAGCCAGGGGCAGGAAGTGGCAGAAGCAGCTCCACCACTCTGGGCCCGTTGGTGACAGCCTCCACCCCAGATAGGCTTTAACAGCTGTAAAGTGAGATGGGGGTGGCGAGCTGCTATTTTTATCTTCCATTCACTCAGAGGAGCCCCTCTGTCCCCTCTCCAGAAGGAGATCCGTCCTTCTGGAACGCTCCTTCCCTCACGGGGACAGAAGCTTCTGGAGGTCCAACCACGAGGTTAAGACCGGGAGCCGAGGTGTGTTCAAGAGGAAGACTTGTGAACAGAGACGGAGAAGGACAGAAGCCAACATGGCTCTGCTGTGCTACAACAAAGGCTGTGGGGAGACGTTTGACCCCAGCAAGAACAAGGACGGTAAGTCCGGTCCTCGTCCTCAGTGATGGACTCATTACTCTGGTGTTTCATTTAGTTGAAACCAGCCTATAACCCTAACGAGGCCGAGGCGTTCCAACTGTAGGCTGTGAAAACGTCAGATTCATTCATTGCTTCAGAGGGAAGGAACCCTCGTGACCACGTTCCCGCTGCGTTCCGGCCTTGAAGTGCAAATCAGATGGAAATGAGCAGTTATGAAAAATGCAGATTTGTTATAATCTGTTAGAAATGAGTGATCAGACCCAGATATGAGATCGTTGTTTATGTGTAAAGCTGGAAAAACAGATGAGAGGGTTAGACGGATCGTGTCTGTGGGAGGACGGATGCCGTGGTCTTATTTAGGACAACAGCTGGTACTCTCTCCTGTTCTCCCCACCTACAGATTCCTGCCTCTTCCATCCTGGAGTTCCCATCTTCCATGACGCCCTGAAGGTAAACCGTCAGATCAAGGTCTTTTATTGGTCTGATCTGGAGCAGCACCGCTCACGTCTGTCTGCTCCTACAGGGATGGTCCTGCTGTAAGAAAAGGACGACAGACTTCTCTGAGTTCCTCTCCATCAAGGTAACATCTCAAGGTTGCTCTGATTTCAACATCCTCTGTGTGTTTCAGGGAAGAGGAAATGATCCGAAGATATTCAGATCTTTTGATGAAACTTTAATGCGGTGGAAAGAGAAAAGCACTGGTGGAAAAAGAAACCATGTAAAAGGCACTCAGAGTTGGAGATACTTCACTTCAGACTGATAACAGCAGAGTGATGGAGCAGAGAGCTAATACTAATTATTATTTATGCATCTAGACGTTTTCAATCGCAGAGACCAGTGAGTCGTGCCTTCAGAGCTGAAGGTGCATCGGTAACAAACTCTGGAGAGTTAATACCACACTAAAGCTCCTGCCTGCTAGCAAACAGAGCTAACGCCATCATAGAGCGGGTACTTTAGCGTGTAGCTAAGGGAGAAAGGCCAGGAAAGGAGAAGATCCACGTGCTGCTTTGTGTTCTGAGCTCCAGCAGGCTGAACTGGTTAAGATTAAGAGCCAGGAGGCAGAAAGCTGCTCTGATAGCTACGGACAGATCAGCTAATTATAGAAGCTGAGCTTTTTCTTCCTGTTTGGGCTCCTTCCCTCTGGATGAAGATGGCTGTAAATGGGCGTAAAAATGGACCAGTGCTCTTTGCAGGATCTTCTTTACAGTGTGATGGATCAACAGACGTGAGAAGGTTGAGACCATGTTGGTTTTTTGGTGTCATAGCAGTGTGTTTAAGTCCTGGGTGGGGCGTAGTGACATCAGGACATGGGACTGTCTCAATTCCGTCACTGTTTGGCTGCTGACCTCCTCAAGCCCGGTTCAGATGTTGCGTTGTTTTAACCGTTGTAGACGTGTCTCTTGTCGTGAATGGAGTCGTGATGAAAAACAGCGATTTGCAGGTCTGTGGTCGGCCCATCAACTGCTTATTGATGACCAAATCCAGTCTCTGAAAGTCTTCAAGCAGTGTCAGAAAATCTACGACTCGGGTCTGAAATCAACCAGTGAGAACATGTCCAAGAAGTGAAAAACCAGTGACAAGAGTAGCAGTAGCAACGTTAGCAACAACAAGAAGCTACAGGCAAGAACATGTGGGTACTTAGTTCAGTTTGGAGTCTAAGAACATAAATGACCCGCACTTGTGTAGCATCTTTCTGAGTCAGAGGACTTCAAAGTGCATCACACTACAGTGTGTCGTTCATCCATTCACACACTGGTGGTGATGAGCTATAATGTAGCCACTGCTGCCCAAGGCTCACATATAGAGGCGAGGCTGCCGATACCACCAGCAGGCAAGGTGTGTTAAGTGTTTTGCCCAAGGACACAACAGTAGAATTCTCTGTCCAGAGACAGAGAACCTGCGATCTTCCGATTACTGGACTCTGCCTCCTTAGCTACTGCTGCCCAAACGTGCTAATGCTAGCACGGTTTCCCTTTCATCCACCGTGCTGTCATATGTGTATATAAATGTATATATACATATATATATATATATATATATATATATATATATATATATATATATGTATATACATATATATATAAATGTATTTGTATATGTATATATAAATGTATTTGTATATGTATATATATAATATGTATATATATATGCATATTATATATATATATATATATATATATATATATACATATACAGTTGTGGTCAGAAGTTTACATACACTTGTAAAAAATATAATATAATGGCTCTACTGAGTGTCCCGTTATTTCTAAAACTCAGATTTTTCTCTGATAGAGTGATTGGAACAGATACTTCTTTGTCACAAAAAACATTCATGAAGTTCGGTTCTTTAATGTCTTTATTATGGGTTAACAGAGAAAAGTGATCACATTTGCTGGGTAACAAATATACATACAGCAACATGAACTAGCAATTTTGTTGACTTAGAAACGTGTCAGTGAACTGAGCTTCATAGCATGGCCTCTTAACTTCTTGTGAGTGATTATGAGTGACTACAGCTGGTGACTTCTCTTAGGCCAGGTAAATAGGGCTCATTGGATACAAACGCCCACAAACGCTACAATGGGAAAGTCAAAGGAGCTCAGCATGAATCTGAAAAAGTGAATTTTTGACTTGAACAAGTCAGGAAAGTCACTTGGGGCCATTTCAAAGCAGCTGCAGGTCCCAAGAGCAACAGTGCAAACAATTGTTTGTAAGTATAAGGTGCATGGCACTGTTTCATCACTGCCAAGATCAGGAAGAAAACGCAAGCTATCACCTGCTGCTGAGAGAAAATTGGTCAGGAGGGTAAAGAGTGAACCAAGAATCACCAAAAAGCAGATCTGCCAAGAATTAGAAGCTGCTGGAACACAGGTGTCATTGTCCACAGTCAAACGTGTTTTGCATCTCCATGGACTGAGAGGCTGCCGTGCAAGAAGGAAGCCCTTGCTCCAAAAGCGGCACCTTAAGGCTCGACTGAAGTTTGCTGCTGATCACATGGACAAAGATAAGACCTTCTGAAGGAAAGTTCTGTGGTCAGATGAAACAAAAATCGAGCTTTTTGGCCACAATGCCCAGCAATATGTTTGGAGGAGAAAAGGTGAGGCCTTTAACCCCAAGAACACCATGCCTACAGTCAAGCATGGTGGTGGGAATATTATGCTGTGGGGCTGTTTTGCTGCCAGTGGAAGTGGTGCTTTACTGAGAGTAAATGGGATAATGAAGGAGGAGGATTACCTTCACATTCTTCAACATAACCTAAAATCATCAGCACGAAGGTTGAGTCTTGGGCGCAGTTGGGTGTTCCAACAGGACAATGACCCCAAACACACATCAAAAGAGGTAAAGGAATGGCTAAATCAGGCTAGAATAAGGGTTTTAGAATGGCCTTCCCAAAGTCCTGACTTAAACCCCATTGAAAATATGTGGACAGTGCTGAAGAAACAAGTCCATGTCAGAAAGCCATCAAATTTAACTGAACTTCACCAATTCTGTCAAGAGGAGTGGTCAAAGATTCAACCAGAAGCTTGCCAGAAGCTTGTGGATGGCTACCAAAAGCGCCTAATTGAAGTGAAAATGGCTAAGGGACATGTAACCAAATATTAGCAC